TTGTGGCGGTGACTTCAGGCAGGCGGGTTGGCGATATTCATGCAATGTCGGCCGATCCCGCTTACTGTTTTTCACAAAGACAGAGTTAGCATACGGCTGCCTGATACTTACCGGCCCTAAGAAGGATAGTCCCTTCCATGTGACGGCGCTTCTATTGAGCTCCCAGCTTTCACTCAGCCTTCCCTGTCCGGGTACCTCTCTACGACGCGCTCACGCCTTAGATGTCCGTGAAGACACTTAAGGCTTATATCAAACGAACAAGGGTACCCGTAAGGGTAACCAATTGTTTTGTTGTTATGGCGGGTTCAGGCTGGTCTTCCCGCCACCAAGCAAACCATTTCTCGGTGGCTTGTCTCTGCCATACATATGAGCTATACTCAAACAGGGCGATCCCGCCTGTTGGGTTGAAAGCTCATTCGGTTAGGGCAGTTGCTACATCGAAAAGCTTACGCTGCAGCCCTGCCCATTGAGGAGATCTGCTCACAAGCTATTTGGAGCCGTCCGAAAGTACGCTCATCCGCTATTACCAACTTGACAGACTCTCCAGTGAGCTGCTCGGTTCGGGTCAGTCAGTCTCTCCAGTGGGCATGGTTCCACCTCTCTAGCCGATTGAGCTTTCGAGAAAGTATGTGAACCATTCTATGCCAACTTTTTAACACTGGTGTTGGGTTTTAAAAATCTTGTTTACATATTCCCTTGGTGACGGGTTTTATGTGGTGATGGTTTTATTCCCATGTCTTTTGCATTCTGCTCTAGACTTTACTGGCCTTGGAAGCTTTGCTAAATATATATACATATTAAGGCATTTCGCTTCTGGCGGCTTATTATGGGACCCTTATCTTCGCCTCGAGTAGATTACGGGAAGGAGGGAGGGTGTGTCTCGCTAGTTTGCTTTAGCCAGGTTTCTTCATGGGCAATTTACATATGTTCGACCCTGACCCTGGTTCATGCCCCCGCCTGATTGGCTATGGTGGACACGCGACCGGTAAGTGTGCTTTTTCTGCTATAATTAGCTTGGGAAATTCCACTTTTGTCGGGGTGTTTTCTGCAGACAGAATGCCGCCCTTAGTCTGGCCTTTAGGAGTCTGTCTTATGCTTATAAGTACCCCAAGGAGGAATATATAAAAAGAATCGAACTAACCTGTATAGGTTTCAGATTCTTTGAATATATTCCTCCTTGGGTACCTACCACCTCCCCACATTCTGTCTGATGTCGCTCAGCATGGAAAGTGAGGTGCGAGGTTACGGTCTAGAGTTACCTGCTCTTGGCTGTAGGGGCCAGAGGGCCCTGTAAGGGTGGTCTCACAAGACAAAACGTAGTTTTGTTTTGTAAATATTTTATTCAAATATTGTTACAACTGTCGAGGGATTTTAAATGGACATTTAAATGCTTATAAGTACCCCAAGGAGGAATATATTCAAAGAATCTGAAACCTATACAGGTTAGTTTCTGTGAATGTAGACAGTCCCTGTGGAGGTGACTGTGTGTACCGTTAGATGAGCATTATAAAAAGCTGATCCGGTGAAGTATGGCGTTTATTGCTGCTTTCATTTCCAGCCTGTGGAAGTGCAGATCGTGTCTGCTATGGTCCATATCACAGCTGACATATTGTTGTCACGATATGGTCCCACTCTAGGAGAGATGCGTCCCCATAGAGATGCGTCTTGTACTGTGACTCCGCTAATTAGGTGCGTCTGCAACCCTCCTCGCACGGAGTTCACCATATATAGATATGGGTTATAATCTGTCCGGATCGTCCGGTTGTACATTCATGAAGACCAGTAGTGGGCGTAATTATAATTCTCTTTGCATTTCATGTCTTGTGCTGAAGTGCGAAACCCCAACAGATTCCACCACTTCGTAGTAAAACGGAGAGAGTAGTGCTTGAGATACAAGAACTTGTATCTATATCCTACGAACTTGACACCCTTCCCGTGTCTGTAAGGAAATGAAGCGATGGCCGACTCTGTGACTGCCATCGTTGAAACTTTATGTAAAAATCGCCTGACTGCCGTGCCCTCGTCCTTAAATGACAGGGGAGCCATGAAGGCAGCCAAATCATGAAGGTCCAGTCTAACTGAACTGTAATGGAGGCGTTGCTCGCTCACTGACATGTTGTTGTCACTTGCAACCCATGTCTTGAACTGTGAGCTATGACCGACCTCTGCGCAGGGCGTTGTCCCTCATTTTGATTCTGTTGTGTAGCCGCGCTGTGATGTCACAGGTGTAGCAGGAAAAAGAACCTTGTATTATCTAGTGCCGTCGTTGATATTTGATCAATCGTCGGTCTTCTCCGTAACTTTCCGAAGTTACACGAGTGACCACGTGTATCGAGGGTTAATGGTAAACGCGCGAAAATTTCGCCGTGTAATATCAATGCTGGGTAGGTTATTTTCCTGGCTGCTGTGAATGTAACTTCAGTCTTGAAGATAATGCCGTCGTCCATATATATAGGCTCAATAAAACTTTTATGTTGTCAGCTTGTAGACTGCATACATCAATGCAGCGTCGTAATTGTAGAATTAATGCTGCACTTGTTGTACATTTAACTTATAGACTATAAGTAACGTTCTGTTAAAAATTTTAGTACTGCGACGTCTCTGCCTTGTGGATGTCTCTGTGAATGCCTTCGCGCAGGCTCGGTGATGACATATAGCGTTCTGTTGATAATATAAATACTGTGGTGTTTCTGCGTTGTAGATGGCCTGTGCGAATGCCTTCGCGCAGGCTTGTAGACGGCATGTGGCGTACAGTTGATAGACGAAGTACTACGATGTCTCTGCTTCGCTGGATACCTGTGCTGAATAGCCCGACGAACTGTGCTTGTAGGGTGACCTGTAGCTTCGCGAAGGTCCTAGTGAATCCCTCGACGATCTATAGGACGAAGATGTCTTGTAAACTGTAACTGACGTCCTTCGCGAAGGGCTTCGCGAAGGCTCATCTGAGTCCGTACTTGGGGAGTGGTGACTGGTCCTTCGCGAACGCTTTTCGTCTGATTCTGTATCCGGGGATGGAAGAATTCTCCTTCGCAAATACCTTCGCGAACGTTGATTCCGCATCTGGGGGATGGCGACTGGTCCTTCGCAAACGCTTTCGCGAACTTCTTTCTTCTTCGCGAATGCCTTCGCGAACGCTGAATCCGTATCTGTGAGTAGATCTACGTGGTGAACGACGAAAAGATCTACGTGGAGACTGGCGAGGAGATCGACATGGAGAACGGCGTGACGAGCTGCGTCTGTAAGGTGACCTTCGCGGAGATCTATGTGGTGAACGTTGATAGCTTCGCGAAGCTCTCGGTGAATCCCTCGATGACCTTCTAGACGAAGATGACTTGGAGTCTGTAACTGGTGCCCTTTGCAAAGACCTTCGCAAAGCTTCATCTGAGTCCGGTCCTGGGAAGTGACGACTTGACCTTCGCCAAAGGCTAGGAGTCCAAGTCCGAGTCCAGGGATGAAAGGATCTTCCTTTGCGAACCTCTTCGTGAGCGTTGATCATTGGCGTCCAAGGTAGGTGGTGATCTAGTTGTCCTTCGTGAAGGCCTTCGCGAAGGCCTTCACGAATGCTGAACATCTGGGTCCTTCGTGGAGGTGGGCTGTGACGACCTTCGCAAAGATGGCTTCCTCGACGATGGCTTCGTAGCAGTCGCTTCGCTGACAGGAGGTCCCTCTGATGTGACGTCTACGTTGGAGCCTTCGCGAAGGCTCGAGGCTAATTGCCTCTCCAGACCAGACGAACTGTAGCGGTCTTACATAATCTTCATAATCTGACGCATCAGGTTGTCTGGACGGTCTGCGATGAAGTAGTTGCTGCCCTATCTGCGTTGGTAGCAACGGGACCCTCAGGAAGATCATCGGTCATCAGCGTTGGTACATCAGGCTGCATGTTGATCTGCGCTGACATCACTGTTGCCGACATCGGTCATTCTTTTGATGTACATCAGGTATGATGATCGGCTGATCATCATACAGGCCCAAATCTGCGACGGGAACAATCTCGGCTGAGAAAGTCCTAGTAGACTTCGTTGATTTCCCCTCAGAGGTCGACGCTGCCCTGGGGGTGCGGAGTCTGCGTTGAGATGAAGTAGAAGCCCTCTAGTCTTCGGCTGCGACGATGGGATGTCTGGGGATGCAGGACGCTTCTTGGAGACGGCGGACTACGTCCCACGCCTCTCCACCGCTCTAGCGAAACACCAGACGGGAGTGGGGTCGACCAACAGCAGTAGACTGGCGAGGGTTCAGGTGTATCAATCATGGCTAGACTCTGCTTACCTGACCTATCTGCTGCGGGTCTCAAACGCAAAGTAAATATTTATGAAAGGCAGAATTGGATAAATTAGTACAGCAACTGCAACGTGAAGAAAATGAACATGGCGCAGTACAGCTAGGGCATATTAAATGCGGATCAGCAGCAGAAAAACTTAACCTGCAAACAGTACAGATTTTCATCAACGTAATCTACTGAACAATCACGGCGTCCCGTGAATAAACAGTAGAAACATGAATAAATATCAATACATAATGTTGAAAGGATACTAGCTAAACCTCTATAGATGACTATAAGAGGTAATTAACTAAGAATAATCAAAGGATATAAAGTGTAGGGAGACACAGGCGCTCTCACATCCTGCTCACTGGGCGAAGAAGGAGAGAGTGAAGCATGTGGGCAGAGGTGGCGCCTCCGTTCCCGTGCATTTGGCTAGAGGGAGGCAACTCTTGGTGAGTACTAATTAGTGATTTTACATTGAAGGGAGCTTCAATTAGGGAGATACAAGTGTCCCACTATGTTCGCAAGAAGAAGAAGACAAGCAATAAGAGCATGAGTCAGGATAAGGAAAAATTTTCTGTTTTTTGTTCCCCCTCATTTCTTAATAAGTGTACTACTCCGTCACTGAAATACTTTAGTTGTGCGTGCAGCGTTAAATAAAGCAAATAATAACATCTGTGCCTGACAATGAAGTGAAGACTGTGTTTGATAAAGGGTTTAAATTGCCCTGACTGACCTGTATTTTGCGCAGTCTCTCCTGTTCCTCTGCAATCTTCTGCTGCTCCAACTTTTTTTTCAGTTCAAGGAGCATCTGGTCCATGGAGGCAATGAACCGACTGTAATCAGTGTTGAGTTGCTCACGTGTCATGTCAGTGCTCTGTAATGTTGAAAGAAAGTTGTTCAGACTATGATGTTCATTAACTCCATTCAGATTACGAGTGAGATCATATCAGATCACACTATGTTTCAGCCATATAATCGCACGTTAAATTGGTCACTATGGACAATAGGTCTAGACATTCGTACCATGGGTCACTTTGGACAATGGACAACAGCTCTATGACATGTACCACAGGTCCCTATGGACAACAGCTCTATGACATGTACCACAGGTCCCTATGGACAATGGACAACAGCTCTATGACATGTACCACAGGTCCCTATGGACAATGGACAACAGCTCTATGACATGTACCACAGGTCCCTATGGACAACAGCTCTATGACATGTACCACAGGTCCCTATGGACAATGGACAACAGCTCTATGACATGTACCACAGGTCCCTATGGACAACAGCTCTATGACATGTACCACAGTTCCCTATGGACAACAGCTCTATGACATGTACCACAGGTCCCTATGGACAACAGCTCTATGACATGTACCACAGGTCCCTATGGACAATGGACAACAGCTCTATTTCAACAATCGTTGAGTCAAATATCTAGTTATGTCTCAGTTTCTAACTCCCATGCAAGTTTGTGGTAAGAATAATGACCAACATGGATATTCACATCAATTTCCCCAAAATAATGTTATCTCATTACATAATGTATACATAAAGTACCATACCTTTACCATTACATAATGTACACATAAAGTACCATACCTTTACCATTACATAATGTATACATAAAGTACCATACCTTTACCATTACATTATGAACACATAAAGTACCATACCTTTACATAATGTATAAAGTACTATACCTTTACATAATGTATACATAAAGTACCATACCTTTACCATTACATAATGTATACATAAAGTACCATACCTTTACCATTACATAATGTATACATAAAGTACCATACCTTTACCATTACATAATGTATACATAAAGTACCATACCTTTACCATTACATAATGTACCATAACCATTACATAATGTACCATACCATACCTTTACCATTACATAATGTATATAAGAACCATACCTTTACCATTACATAAACATAAAGTACCATACACATAAATAAAGTACCATACCTTTACCATTACATAATGTTTACATAAAGTACCATACCTTTACCATTACAAAATGTATACATAACGTACCATACCTTTACCATTACATAATGTATACATAAAGTACCATATCTTTACCATTACATAATGTATACATAAAGTACCATACCTTTACCATTACATAATGTATACATAAAGTACCATACCTTTACCATTACATAATGTATAAAGTACCATACCTTTACCATTACATAATGTATACATAAAGTACCATACCTTTACATAATGTATACATAAAGTACCATACCTTTACCATTACATAATGTACACATAAAGTACCATACCTTTACCATTACATAATGTACACATAAAGTACCATACCTTTACCATTACATAACGTTTACATAAAGTACCATACCTTTACCATTACATAATGTATACATAAAGTACCATACCTTTACCATTACATAATGTACACATAAAGTACCATACCTTTACCATTACATAATGTACACATAAAGTACCATACCTTTACCATTACATAATGTACACATAAAGTACCATACCTTTACCATTACATAATGTATACATAAAGTACCATACCTTTACCATTACATAATGTACACATAAAGTACCATACCTTTACCATTACATTATGTACACATAAAGTACCATACCTTTACCATTACATAATGTATACATAAAGTATCATACCTTTACCATTACATAATGTATACATAAAGTACCATACCTTTACCATTACATAATGTATACATAAAGTACCATACCTTTACCATTACATAATGTATACATAAAGTACCATACCTTTACCATTACATAATGTTTACATAAAGTACCATACCTTTACCATTACATAATGGAAAACCTGGCAGCTAAACAAACCATGGAATTGACTGATGTGTGACGTTTATTGCAGATGTAGTTTGCTGGCTGCAAACCCCAATCAAACTTTCATTCTCATCAAAGAAACTTCAGATCTTGTTGAAGATTTTGCAACCACTCAATTCAATCAGATGACAGTGGTCCTTTTGAGTACAGGTAAATCAGGCAATGTCATTTATTCCTGACTAGCCCAACTACGTAGACCATGAAAAGATGTGTACCAGTCTGTCTACATGAAGGGCTGGCTGTCAGCAGTGTAGGTACACTGTACACACTCACCCTGATCTTCTTAATGAAACCACTCAGCGAGTTCTCAATGTCCTTCACTTGTTTTGAAGCCTGCTCTTTCTCTTTCTTGAACTGGGAGACAATCTGGGCCATCATTGTCAGTTGCTCAGAGGAGGACTTCAGCTTCACTAAGATGGCCATCCTACATGTGGAGGTGAATGTGGTTATCAGGGAAGTCAGAGGAACAGGCTGTTCATAATTCTTGCAATCCACACTTAAATTTCATTATTTTAAGAGGTTTAATGCAATATGCAAAACTTCCTTCAAATAGTGATCCCCAATTAGTGATCAAAGTTTATTTATTCCATCATATCTTGGTACAGAGCAAAGAAGTGAGAGAATACTGGGCATTGACTGGGCACAGATATGGTAACCCAACATCAGGTACTGGCACTTGCCCATACTGAGTGAGTGAGTGAGTTAAAATTTAACGTCACTTCGGCAATATTTAAGCCATATAGTGACAAGAAAGGTTTTTGCATACACAATGAATATAAGTTGTTAAATAATTAGTCATTGAAGGACTGTAAACTATCTAAAGTGTCACAGATGGTGTCTAAAACTAGCATGGAAATCTAAAAGTATTTCATTTATGAAGACAATACAATATAAAAACAGGCTATAGGTCACCAACAACTGAAGGTAGATCACCATACTAGGGAGCATGGGGACTTACAGTGCTTTTGCTTCCTGCATGGACCCTAGTTGGATTTACACCATCCCTTCAGCCGCTGGCAATTGTAGGAAAAGTTTAGGCGGAGTTAAAAATAACAAAAATACTATGTTTAAAAATCTGGTAAGTTTAAATTTAACTTTGAAAGTTTTGGGATTTACATATTCTTTCAGGAGGACAATAATTTTACAATACTTTAACCCCCCTTGAGGATACAGCCACTAACAATCGCAGTTACTAATTTATACTACCATGTTTAAAATGCCATTTATCTACTTACGAAACATATTATTCAAAATTTATGTAATATATCTATTTCCTTTAAAAAATCAATTATTCAATGATAATGAACATTATAAAAAAAGATCCTTAATTATTTCGACATTAAAATATTTATCCCTTGTGATGGAAAAATCAATGTGAAAATATGTGTTACCCACCGTCAATACTATTTACATCCAAGATTACCACCACTAGTAATAAAATCATACAGTCACTGGGTACTTAGGAGGAATAGGAATTCACTCAAAATGATTAAAAATCTTTCCCAATCTGTGGGATGGCATGAACCAAGCATTATTAACCTATGACAGTAAATACTTAAATAGGTATCTCTTTTCGCAGGCTATGACACGACATTAAATGATGCTTCGAAATAATATTGAATACAAATCAAAATCTAGTGAGTGAAGGAGGGGATGAGGGGATGAATGAAGGAGGGGATGAGTTGATGAGGGGATGAGTTGATGAGTGAAGGAGGGGATGAGGGGATGAGTGAAGGAGGGGATGAGTGAAGGAGGGGATGAGTTGATGTGGGTATGAGTGAAGGAGGGATGAGCTGATGAGGGATGAGTGAAGGAGTGGATGAGGGATAAGTGAAGGAGGTGATGAGTTGATGAGGGATGAGTGAAGGAGGGATGAGGGGATGAGTTGATGAGGGGATGAGTGAAGGAGGGATGAGTTGATGAGGGATGAGTGAAGGAGGGATGAGGGGATGAGTGAAGGAGGGATGAGTTAATGTCTATTTTAATCTATTTACACCTATTTGTCAAAATTTTAATCTATTTAATCTATTTCGTACCCATTTTACACTATTTTAAACCATTTTTAATCTATTTACACTATTTTAAATGCACTATTTAATTCATTTCAGTCTATTTTTAATTCATTTACACTATTTCAAAATTTATTTAACTATTTAAACAAAATTTTAATCTATTTTAAAATTATTTTAACTATTTTAATTCATTTGTACCTATTTTTTGACCTTATGATCTATTTGTAAAATGATGACCATTTACACTATTTCTAAACATTTAATCTATTTACTTATTTGTCTATTTAATCTTATTATTTGTCAAATGATGACCTATTTACGACCATCAGCCCATTTTTTAACTATTCGACCATTTTTAACTATTTCAAACGTTCTTGGACCTATTAATTATTTTAATCTTATTTACACTATTTCAAACATTTAATCTATTTACACTATTTCTGTACCATTTTTTACTATTATTAATTCATTTTGTACCATTTTTAATCTTGTCTTGTCTATTTTAATTCATTTTAAAATTATCCATCCATCCTGACTATCCTTTCCATCTTGTCGACCATTACATCCTTTCCTCCCCCCCTCCACCTTCCACTCCATTAAACATCCTACCTACCTCCACCGCATTTAAAATGACTCCGTACTCCTCCACCGCTTTAATCTATTCACCTCCACCCTGCGTATTTAATCTTGTTCCATCTTATTTAACTATTTGCACTATTTTAATCTATTTAACTATTTAATCACATTAATTCATTTAGAAAATTAATCTATTATTAACTATTGTCTATTTTAATTCATTTACACTATTTTACCTATTTTAATTGTCGTGACTATTTCAAAACGTATTTTAATTATTCGACTATTTTAATTCATTTAAAATGATGCCATCTATTACATCTATTTAAATGATGACTTATTTATTATCTATTTAACAAATGCACCTTATTTATTAATTATTTAAAATTATTTAATTTATTCCGATCTATTTAAAATGATGACTCGATGACATCTATTTAATTTATGACTATCGACGAGACTATTTGCATCTGACGATGATGACTATTTAAATGATAACTCCATTATTATCCATTTCTAAATGATGACTGACTTATTATCTATTTTAACAATTATTTTAATTTATCGACGACATCTATTTAATGATTCCGAGCCATCGATGACGATCTCCGATGCACGATAATTTTATTACCTATTATTATCGATGGTACGCGTCCGATTTATATCTATTTAAACAATGACCTTATTTAATAATGATGTATCGATGTTAACGAGCCGGGTCTATTTCAATTGTCGACGATCGACGATGTAACATGACTTTATTCGACGATGATCTATTTAAAATGATGACTTATTATGACGATGCATTTAATTTATTTATTATTATTTAATGACAATGACGATCGATTTATTAAACAATGACCTATCGACGATGTAATTATTAATTGAGCGATGATGGATGAGCGATAATGATGAGCCGGACGATGACGATGAAATGATGATTTATTACATCTATTTTGCATCGATGACCATTATGTCGATTTAAATAATTCAATTATGACGATGAAATGATTTTATCGACGCTGAATGATGGACGAGTGACGATGATTTTGTCGACTGACGATGACGATAATGATGACGATGACGATGAATGATGACGATGATGACGATGAAATAATGACGATGACATTGGCGATGCATCGATGCCGATGATGGACGATGAATTGATGAATGATGACGATGAATGATGGACGATTGACGATGTAATGAGGACGATGATGATGACGATGACGATGAGACGATGAATGATGACGATGACGATGAAATAATGGATGACGATGATGATGTGACGAGCCGACGATGAATGATGATTTGATTGACGATGACGATGACGAGCCGATGATGAATGATGAAGAGGACGAGGAATGGTACGGGATGAGGATGAGTGGAGGTCAACATCAAAGTCAGCATGGGTAACAGCACTCTTTACTTGGGTTTGAACTCGCGACTACATGCCCACATCCGAAATATGGTTTCTGCACTCTCACCAGCATGTCACGACGATAATTTATCTTGTTTTTCACTGAAACAAATATGTATATTTATATATAAAATGATGAAAGAAATGTAAAAAGAAGCAGTGGTCAATGTTCTTCATTCTTACCTCTCATCACCAAGGTGACATTATGAATGGGATTCATACATCATGCATCCAACTTCTCCCATATCTACGACAAACATTATGCATGGAAAGGACCCATATAAGGTAGTTTGACATACTTCCTAACTACTGACGTAAAATGTGTGTCCCAAAATGACTTCCTAAATACCCAGTCCATACCATTATTCAATAAATCTTTATTACATATGAAGGTCATAGGTCATATATACATATAAATAAACCATTAACAGCATTCTATTGACTGAACACAGCACACAGTCAGACTCACATTTAATGACTGATAGAGCACACCACTGTGCCTTTCTCCAGCGTGAACACATCACACAGACAGACTCACATTTAATGACTGATAGAGCACACCACTGTGCCTTTCTCCAGCGTGAACACATCACACAGACTCACATTTAATGACTGATAGAGCACACCAATGTGCCTTTCTCCAGCGTGAACACATCACACAGTCAGACTCACATTTAATGACTGATAGAGCACACCACTGTGCCTTTCTCCAGCATGAACACATCACACAGTCAGACTCACATTTAATGACTGATAGAGCACACCACTGTGCCTTTCTCCAGCATGAACACATCACACAGTCAGACTCACATTTACTGACTGATAGAGCACACCAATGTGCCTTTCTCCAGCGTGAACACATCACACAGACTCACATTTAATGACTGATAGAGCTCACCACTGTGCCTTTCTCCAGCATGAACACATCACACAGTCAGACTCACATATAATGACTGATAGAGCACACCACTGTGCCTTTCTCCAGCATGAACACATCACACAGACAGACTCACATTTAATGACTGATAGAGCACACCACTGTGCCTTTCTCCAGCATGAACACATCACACAGACAGACTCACATTTAATGACTGATAGAGCACACCACTGTGCCTTTCTCCAGCATGAACACATCACACAGACAGACTCACATTTAATGACTGATAGAGCACACCACTGTGCCTTTCTCCAGCATGAACACATCACACAGACAGACTCACATTTAATGACTGATAGAGCACACCACTGTGCCTTTCTCCAGCGTGAACACATCACACAGACAGACTCACATTTAATGACTGATAGAGCACACCACTGTGCCTTTCTCCAGCGTGAACACAGCAACCACCTCTTCACCTTCTTCACCAACTCAGCTAAATTTTCTGGATCACTTTTCAGAATCTGATCAAACTCTGCAAATTTCCCTGGTCGGAAGAAGACCTTGGTCAAACCAAACTTGAAATCATTTTCATCCAGACCAAGAGCTCTGAAGAGTGACTGTGGATGATAAACAATACTTCCATTTATTACAATATTAGCCACTTTAGCCAGAGATGTTCAGTTTGCTCAAGTGATCATAATTCTGCATGATGGACTCAACAACAGATATTAAATAAGACATCTTCTTACCTTGCAGAAGAGTCGTGGATCAAGTCGGGATAGCTCTGGAGGCAGGTACTTCTTGTACATGTTGTACAGCTCAGAGAACTGGGTGCGGGATGGGTAGCCTTGCTGCATGAGGTCCAGCACCGAGATCATACCTGTGGACACATCAAGTTGACCAACACACTGAACAAGAGGGTGATTTGTGCAACATACTGACCAACACACTGTACAATAGACTGACCAACATACTGTACAACACACATACCAGCATACAGTACAACACACAGTACAACACACTGACCGGCATACAGTACAACACACTGACCAACATACTATACAACACACTGACCAGCATACAGTACAACACACTGACCAGCATACAGTACAACACACTGACCAACATACAGTACAACACACTGACCAACATACTGTACAACACACTGACCAACATACTATACAACACACTGACCAGCATACAGTACAACACACTGACCAGCATACAGTACAACACACTGACCAACATACAGTACAACACACTGACCAACATACTATACAACACACTGACCAGCATACTGTACAACACACTGAACAACATACTGTACAGCACACTGACCAACATACAGTACAACACACATACAGTACAGCAAACTGACCAACATACTGTACAACACACTGACCAGCATACAGTACAACACACATACAGTACAGCAAACTGACCAACATACTGTACAGCACACTGACCAACATACAGTACAACACACATACAGTACAGCACACTGACCAACATACTGTACAACACACTGACCAGCATACTGTACAACACACTGACCAACATACAGTACAACACACTGACCAACATACTGTACAACACACTGACCAGCATACTGTACAACACACTGACCAACATACAGTACAACACACTGACCAGCATACTGTACAACACACTGACCAACATACTGTACAGCACACTGACCAACATACTGTACAGCACACTGACCAACATACAGTACAACACACTGACCAGCATACTATACAACACACTGACCAACACTGTACAACACACTGACCAGCATACTGTACAACACACTGACCAGCATACTGTACAACACACTGAACAACATACTGTACAGCACACTGACCAACATACAGTACAACACAGATACAGTACAGCACACTGACCAACATACTGTACAACACACTGACCAGCATACTGTACAACACACTGACCAACATACAGTACAGCACACTGACCAACATACTGTACAGCACACTGACCAGCACACTATACAACACACTGACCAACACTGTACAACACACTGACCAGCATACTGTACAACACACTGACCAACATACAGTACAACACACTGACCAACATACAGTACAGCACACTGACCAACATACAGTACAACACACTGACCAACATACAGTACAGCACACTGACCAACATACAGTACAGCACACTGACCAACATACAGTACAACACACTGACCAACATACAGTACAACACACTGACCAACATACAGTACAGCACACTGACCAACAGACAGTACGTCACACTGACCAACATACAGTACAACACACTGACCAACATACTGTACAACACACTGAACAACATACAGTACAGCACACTGACCAACATACAGTACAACACACTGACCACATACAGTACAACACACTGACCAACATACTATACAACACACTGACCAGCATACAGTACAACACACTGACCAACATACAGTACAACACACTGACCAGCATACAGTACAACATACTGACCAACATACAGTACAACACACTGACCAACATACTGTACAACACACTGACCAACATACAGTACAACACACTGACCAACATACAGTACAACACACTGACCAGCATACAGTACAACACACTGACCAACATACAGTACAACACACTGACCAACATACAGTACAACACACTGACCAGCATACAGTACAACACACTGAACAACATACAGTACGTCACACTGACCAACAGGTTGAACAGACCAACTGTAAAACAGACCTAACATTAAACAGAGTTTAGTTTTACACTGCTTTTAGTAACATTCCAGCAATTGTGACAGGACACCAGAAATGGGTTTCACACATTATACCATGTGGGGAATTGAACTAAATTAGACACAACTCATAGAGATACAACTGATTGAACTAAATGAACAGATAACATAACAGACTGAAAAACATAGAAAACACCAGTCTTACAGCAGAATGCATGACAGACTGTGCAACAGATGGAAGAACAGAATAAACTGAATAAAGACCTGATTGGTACAAATGACTGAACAACAGATTGAAAAGACACAGTGAAAAGGGTCTGAGAACAACAGAATGCACCAGGCCTGATATTGTACAAAAGAGTGTACAAGGAATTGATGAACTGATTGAACAATAGGTTGTACAACAGACAACATTTGTGGCCACACATGAAACTTCCGTTTCCTGCATGAAATGATTTGTTCTACAGCCAATAATAACTGAAGAGCATACCTGCACACTGGAGCTGGCTGAGAATCATACCCCCTTCAAACATGTGGTCCACCATCTTGCTGTTAGGCTTGATACACCGGATGAAGTTGGTCCCCTTTAAAAAAGTACACATATCAGGGTTAGTTTAGTTTCATATTAAGTCAGTTTATATATGTGTATCTGAAGGTTATTACCAACACAAGTAGGAGTCTCATCACACTTACTGTGCTTCGAAGCTTGTCCATCAAAACAGTCAGTTGTTTTCGGAACTTGTTTCCGACACTTATGAAGGCAAGTTTCCCAGAGGTAACCTCCATGCCCTCAAACAACTTTCTAAGCAAGGCATTCTTACTTTCTTGGACTAGAAACTGCAAGGATGCATGCAGAGCATCATTGTTCTTCTCAATAAACTGAACCTGCATAAAAAACACACCTCATTTAAGAGTTGGACAAATTCAAAAACATGTATATCATACTGTAGTGATCTAATGAGCCAGCCAGTTGTAACTGGCTTGGTTTCATTCAAAACCCAAAACTCATACACAAGACACTGTTGCCCAACAGGTACATTCACTGAGCTGCATGCTTAATATAGTGAATGTTTGTGACCATCAAGTAAGTATAGCTGCAGATATTCACAAACAAGACCCTAATCTTCTACCAACAACACAGCAACTTGACAATGTTGGAGAGTGGCAAGCACCTATACACCTACTTGAAGCATGCAGGGATGGTGCCAACCTGGGATCACATCATGTGGCTCAGTGATGCACTACTGAGATTTGTTTTTATCACAATGAATTTGAAATGATTTTTAATATGATTTTCTTTTGTTTCCATTTGGGTCCGACACTTTTATTTTGTCAGGTAACCTGACTGATTATTTGTCCCATGTTTTCCTGCAGGCATTGTATGTCACATGACAACAGGTTTGTTTTCATTAAACATATTGTCCCACAATGATGTCTTTGGCCATTTCAACAGATCCATTATAAGTAGTATGCTTCTCTCGAGGGTAATACGGTCTGATGTACACCTCTTTGTAGCAGTGTCACCCGAGCCGGTAGACGAGGGATGACACTGGTACAAAGAGGCGTACATCAGACCGTATTACCCAAGGGAGGAGCATACAATGTCTTTATCTTACCGCCATGTTAAATGTACGAACTATCATTTTATTTTATTTTAAAGATCGCTACCAACTATATGACATATTAACAAAATGGCGTCTGCCCCTCGACTGGATTTTTTAAATCAGTGAAACATATTCTGACAAGGTTAACACTGCTATAAAAATGGTTAATTATTTTTAAGTTGAGTGTGCAAAAGATTCAATGTATAAAATAGTTTAAATAAAGCAGTGAAAGTCGGTTAAATAAAATGGTACATAGTGAAATCAAAAACAGCTAATCAAACGGTTTTAGAACTCCGGACACTGCATGCGTCATAGTATGATGTCATATGATTGTTAACGACACAGCTTCTCGGCGGAGAGTTTGGAGGTTACCGTGGCAGCGGGTAATATTTTTTCCAGTTGTCACACTCCTGGGAGGGGTGACACGGAAACTTGTTAAAGCGTCATTGACCAATGAAATTAAAGTATTTCACATGAAGGTAAGATAAACAATATTCCCCAAATAGAATATGTGTACAATGTAAATAGAGATGTATAAAAGCACATATGAGTTTTATGTTTTTTCACACATAGATACAACATTCGCTCACACATCCATACTATAATAATACAGAAGTAAATTAATTCACATTGTCAATGTTTACCCCTGAAAGAGATTTTCATATTGTTTCCATTTGTTATGGTATTCCAGAAACCTTGCTTTGCTATAATGTCTGATCTTGCAGAAATACTTCAATTCTTTTTTAAATACAGATAATTGCGGTATTCGATTTGTAAGTTTACATTTATAGATATGAAATTTAGCTAATAAAATTATCAAGTTAAATATAACATCACTTTGGAAGGATTTTGAAATACCACATAACACCAGATCACAATGGAATATAAATCTGGTAGCATATCCATACGATTTGACATATTCCCTATGGAAGAGATGATCCTAAGCAGACTTAGAGAAGTATATACAGGGAGCAATATATGGCATCCAGTCAACTTTGCTTCTTCATAGTTTGAGCATCATGGACACAAATTTGAAATGAGCCCGAAATAAACACAGACAAGCCACACCACCAACGCAGTGTTACTCAGAGGTATAATGAAAGTGAACTGTATGTATGGTATTCTAGTGAGGATATGAGTATCTGTTAATTAAGCTCACATGACACGTGAACACACTTAAACAGGTGATACAGTATATGTCGTCTAATTGCAGGGGACATCAGACTTTATTTCTTGATGTTGATCAATTGAAGTTCAGTTGTGTGAACTGGTGTTTACTTCTAGGCATGAGTCTTTGATTTCTTAGGGTGTTTTCTTTGTTCCTTGTATATGTGTATGCTGTTCACTGACCTTTATGAGGAACCATTCATATTTCATTGGTGACAGTTTGCCATTACCATGCATTGATGTTTATTTTTACCGCCTGGTTGTCCATTCATGATTCCATTTGAGACAATACAATAAGGTCAACCCTATCCCTACTTTGATGTACAGATTTAGCAGCTCACCAGCTATCTTTGCACCACATCTAATGAAGTGCGTCATCTGGCAGGGCCAACAATGAAGTGGGATACATTTACAGTAAATGACATACCGTGTGGTAGCAGACAGCACCAGCAAAGTGTTTGATCAGGAAACCTTGGTCATCTTTCACTTCTCGATGAGACTTAAGCTTCGACTTTCGAGGAACCTGTAGTTTACACAAAAAAGGTTTCAACACCTGGAAAATATACACCTCTTGAGATATCTCTGTTGTGCTTTACAAGATGTCTTTTTAAAATATTTCCCATACAATGCAACAAAATAGAATTGCATAAATTTCTAGACTTACACTTAGCCGGAAGTGATTCTTGTTGCGACCATGCACCTCATGAGTGAAGTGGTCGGGTTTTGGTGTAGGCAATTTGCTTTCCTCATCCAGAAGGTCAAAGATACCAGTGCTTTTACCTTCAATCAAATCTGAAAAAGAAATCAACAAAGAATTGATCCACTGACTCATTCACACTCACATCATATTAATTAAAGACATCTGTCTTTCCTAAAGTCATGTTCTTAAATGGTGAAAAAAATTATTTTTTTTATTAAAATTGATATTTTATACTTATCCTGACTCATGCTCTTTTGCTTCTCTCCTTCTTCTTGCGAATGAGAATGGAACACTTGAATCCCCTTTTGAAGCTCCCTTCCAAAAAGCGGACGTAAAATCACTCACCCCACGAGGAGCCTCCCTTTGCCCTTTTGCACCCTTATTGGTCACTTGACCAGCCAAGCTTGTCAATCTCTCCGTATATGAGCCCGACACCCAGATTACCGGGAAATCCAGAGTGTCCAGAGGGGAGGTTGGGAGGGCTAACCTCATGAGTCAGGATAAGTATAAAATATCAATTTTTCCTTATCCTGATTAATGCTCTTTTGCTTGTAGAATCCGATGGAACCGGTGGTGGGTCAGGCCACTTCTGGATTCATCGGTTGTAGATTTACGTCCTGCATACCCCCCGTGGGAACTTATGATGGCACTTGTGCTGATCCTTTTTTCTTCCAGCTTCCTCTGATAAATAATAATAAATAATAAAATGCAGATTTCTTCATGCGCCTTTTCCACGTCAGCAGATATGCTCAAGGCGCAACAATGACAGATTAAAAGAGTCTCCCACATTTATACAGCAATATGTACACGTCCAAAATAGAGTTCCTAATAATACATTGAAAACAGGTATGTTTTGAGTCCTGACTTGAATGTGGCAATACTATCAGAAACTTTCAGATTGTATGGGACTGAATTCTACAAGGTTGGGGCTGCATATGAAAAAGTCCGGTTTCCAAAAGTTTTAAGCTTGAAGTTTGGCACGAACAGAAACTCCTGATTGGATGAAGGCAGCTCTTGTTTGAGTAAGGAGTAAGCAGGTCAGAGAGATATGGGGGAGCAAGTCCGTGACGGGCCATGTAGGTCAAGCAGAGGATTTTGTAGTCGCTTCTTGCCTTGATGGGGAGCCAGTGCAACTGTTTAAGAACAGGTGTGATGTGGCCATGTTTGGGAATGCGACTGATAATACGTGCGGCCGTGTTCTGCACCTTCTGTAACTTATCCAATAGCCTCTGACTGATCCCAAACAACAAGCTGTTGCAGTAGTCGAGCCTTGAAATCACAAGGGCCCGGACTAAGGCATGGGTGGCTTCAGCTGTAAGATATTGACGGATGTTGCTGATGGAGCGAAGATGGAAATAGCAAGTCTTACAGATGAGTCTGGGGGGACCACAACTTGTCAGATTTCTCTGGAACTCTTCTCCTGACATTATGTGTGGATTTATGCAACTCCATGTCTTGATGCTCGCATCAAGTGGAGAAGTGACCCTTCTTCATGTACGAGTAACTCCTTTACAAGTACAGGGTCTATCACTCATGCTGGTCTGTCCTAGACGTGCGCATGGACTCTAAAGCTCTAGCTCTTCAGAGCATTGGCTTTTACAAGTCACATGATAAAAGGATGAGATTCATCTCAGCGCCTTTGAGGAACAGTCAGTTGTTGTGCTACAAGAGGCCCAGACTGGTGAATGCCGGAGACGTCCTCCGTAGCAATGTCTCTGAGGTAGTGGTTGGCAAACACCGTCTCCGACTTCCAAAGCAGCCCTTCATTATTGTCGAGATGGAGCAGTTCGCATGCAGAGCGAGTGTCGATGCCAGCGCTCTGACTTCATGACTCTGACTTCATGAGTCCTGTTGCTTTGTAGACTCTTAGGATGATGTCTCTCTTCCATATCGATATCGTCGTACGTGAGACCTCTGTAGGCGTCTCTGAAGATAGAGGGATCAAAAGGCGTTTGAATTTTCGTCTCCTCGTCTTAGACCTTTGTAGGTAGACTTTCAATGCTCTGACTGGGCATAAGGATAGGTCCTGAGTGTCCTGTGGCCCAAGGACTGTCGAGAGTGCTGGGATGTGGAACTGTCTGTCTGGTTGACCGGGCAGTTGTTCATTGCTATGAAGTCCCATCTCAATCCCAGATGTACGATGTTGCGATGTGCATCAAATCATGTTCGTTCAAAGTCCAGAGCATGTATTTCCGACATCCGAGCTGCTGTTGCCAAGGCGATCAGGAACAGAGTTTTGTGTGTTAAAAAACTCATAGGATGTCCTTTCTAGTGGTTTGTAAGCGTCACTGGTGAGATGCTGCAAGACTACGTTGAGATCACAAGCAGGCGCTTTAAATTTCTTTTGTTGGTCTTCCAACTAAAAGGAGAGCGTAGTAGAGCCAGTATCTCTGGTACTTTGGTCAGCTTAATACCCGTCTTCATGGTGATAACCGTGCTGAGGGCCACTAGATATGTAGAGAGTGTTGAACCTTTTAACCGCCTCGTTTGTCTTAGATGACAAAGCTATTCCGCCACTTGAGGATGTGTTGCTTTTATCGCCGTGAAGCCCTTCCTCAATGCATATTTCTCAAAACTCTGCCACTTGTCGTCGTACAAGTTGCGGGTTGATGTACGTAGAGCTAGTGTGACTGCTTTCGCTGCTCTGGCGGAATATCCTCTTTTATTCAAGCAAGTCTTGCTATGTTCCATGCGTGTAGCTGGAATACTGTTGGATTCCCGTGTGCTTGCTTGGTGTGCGGATGAATTAGTAGGTTCAGCCACTCTGGGAGCTGCAGGGTTGGACTTCCGAGTTCTTGTATGAGGATGGGAAACCACACTCGCTGGCCAGTAGGGCGCGACCAACATCAGTTGCAGCTTCTTCGTCTGCTTGATTTTCTGCAACACCTACGGTATTAGAGCTGGAGGTGGAAAAACGTAAGCGTTTAAACCTTCCCAGGAGATGCTTAGAGCATCTGTTGCCCATGCTTGTGGATCCGGAACCGGAGAGACGAATGTTGGTAGTTGTTTGTTGAACTTTGTAGCAAACAGGTCTATCAGCGGAGATCCAATCATCTGTATGATGCATTTGAAGGCCTCTGGATGTAACATCCATTCCGTTGGGGATGGTTGTGTTGGACGAGATAGGGCGTCTGCTATCACATTCTTGGCTTCGGGAATGTAGCATGCTTTTATGTCGATGTTCAGGTTGTCTATTATGTTGAACAGATGAAAGCTGAGGTCTAGAAGATTCCTTGACCTTGTTGATCCATGTTTGTTGATGTAGAAAGCCACTGTGGAGTTGTCCGTATGGAGTATCAGTTGTGCGTTCCTTAGTATGCTGGACCTGTGTAGTAAGGTGTTTATTACTGCTTTCATCTCGAGCATGTTGATGTGCAGACTCTGCTCCTGACTCGACAATTTCCCTGCTGCCACTTTGTTGTCGAGGTGGGCTCCCCATCCTTGAAGTGATGCATCTACGTAGAGATGAGTGTTGCACACCGGCTCTGATAAGTAGGTTCCTCCACAAACATTCGACTTCCCGAGTCCACCATAGAAGATATGGTGTCAGTCCGTCCGGTAGTCAGAAGGAGTCCAGACTGTCTAGATGAGCGTTCACTTGTAGTAAGCGCAGTTGTAGTCTTCCTCTGTGTGTCATGTCTTGTGCTCTGCCAACTTCGTAGTGGTAACGGAGAGAGTAGTGCTTGAGATACCATGGTTTGTATCTAGACCCAACGATCCTCTGAGACGACCATGCGATTCTGTGGTGAGATGAACATCTTCCCAGAAATCTGGGACAGTAGACAGTGGAACCCTTGCCATGTCCCTAATGGAAGCGGAGCAATGTCCGGTTCTGGAATCATGACTTGAAGTTTATTTCTTCTATCTTCCGATAATATGTCAAGAAGACTTGTCCCCAGAATCCCAACAAAGTCCAGTGATGATGCATAATTCGTCGTCTCTAGATGTACTGGAACTGCCATCGCTGTAAAGTCTATGTATAGTAGACTGGCTGCCGTATGTTGCTGCAAATTGTCGGATAAACAATCTTCAATCTGCTGACAGGGCATAAGGATAGGGTCCTTATGACCCGTGTAGACAGTCGAATCATGCTGTACCCTTCTAACTAGACTGTAAATGGAGCCTTTCTCCCACGTTGAAAAGTTGTTTACAACCGTAGACGACTTCCTGGTATGTGAGCTATTCATGACTTCTGCGCAGGGCGTTGTCTCTCATGGACCAATCAAATTGCAGCATTTGATTCATCTCAGATTCCCAAGATGTGACGTCACCGCTGTTGCATCAAAGAGATCCTTGTAAAATCTTGTGCAGTTGTTGATTTCTTCATCAACCCTAGGCCTTGTCCATAACCTCCCGGAGTGAACACGTGTATAGCAGGCTGAGTGGAAAACGCGCGAAGGATTCTGCCGCGTAATACCAATGTAGGTAGACTGTCTCCCTGGCTGTTGTGATTGTTTCCTTCTTCACTGAAGATAATGCAGTCGTCACTGATACAGATGATCAGCTGAAGTTCCATACTTGCTTAACGCTGTTACTTTTAGACTGTAGTCATCAGTCTCAATGAAGTGCCGTAAAATAACCAATTGTGTTGAATACTTCGCTACGATGACAGTGAAAAACGATAAGGTGGTAAAGGCCTAAAATTTAAAGGATATAGAGCGTTATAGGGGATCCAGGCGCTCTCACAACCCTCCTCTAGGGCGAAGAAGGAGAGAGTGACAAGCTTGGCTGGTCAGGTGACCAATAAGGGCGCCAAAGGGAGGCTATTCGTGGGGTGAGTGATTTTACGTCAGCTTTGTTTAAGGGAGCTTCAAAAGGGGATTCAAGTGTTCCACTATCATTCGCAAGAACAAGGAGACAAGCAAAAGAGCATGAGTCAGGATAAGGAAAAATCACTAGCATTAAAACTTATCTGAAAAGTTCAGAAACTGACTCAGAATTCAGCATTACTTTGAACAGCCAAAGTATTTCGGAAATCACAGTCCTACAGGCTTTCAAGAGGCTGCTCCAAAATAATGCCAATGAAAGATGAACTATTCAATAGAAGTTACCAGCTCAAAAAGCTACTGCCTACTAAATTGTAGAGACAACAATAGCCCTTTCAGATATGTTATTCTTACACACCCTTGGGTGAGAAACCCATGTAAGAAAACTGGTATCACACATATGTGTGAGATTGATTTCTAATCCTGTGATTGGCTACTCCATGGTGATGACCTAGGGTCAGGTTATGACAGACTACTTTCCAGATTAAAATTCATTGATAAGTTACTCGTGCTTCAATCGAACAGAAACCTGTTACTCATGCCAATAAAACACCTTTACACCTACCTGTTATTTTCACGATGGCAACATAAACACGTATGTATACAATGAAACACAATTAGAATAAATATGACACAAATCTATATATTTTCTAATTCCTTTTATTAACACTTTAGATTTCCAGTCATGAATTCAAAATGGCTCGAACAATCAGTGATACCTGTGTAAACAATTATCTGTGAAAATCGCTGTTAGAAATAAAGATTCCCTTCGAATATTCAAAATGTACAACATTGGTACTTTTACTGGAGAGATGCGACAAGTGTCATGTATCGTCTTGCAAAGATACCTGACACGATAACGTCAGTGCCTGTCCATTGTGAGATCGATTTGCCTCGTTGTTTCTTTGATGCATTGATGAAGATGACATTTTTCACTGATACAGTATGACGAAGACCCACTTCCAACTCCGAGCTACTATGTGATTCCAATGTTATCAAATTCACTCATGACAATCAGAACCAAAACACAATCGTTGAAACAATGTATCAACATGGAACATTTTGCAAGGCTTCATGAGTGCAAATGGCAGCACACATCCACATTTGCACGGTAACATCATCGTTTTAGAGTGTTTAATTAATGTTATCTAGTTTTCATTATCACTATTGCCTTGATGATGCGAAGTGGTGGCAGAAACTTTTTTATGGAGGGTCACCATGGGGATGAGTAGTGATCAGGAAGCCAAGTGACGTCACTCATTCATAAACGTTGTGTTGTGTATTATTGCGCAGCTATGATGAGAAAATATGTTTGAATCTATTTGAACATAAAAATGGTGCGATTTTATGGTGTATAAGAAACAGATTACTGTACTCGTGTCTGTCAGATACCATTTATCATACAACTCGTTGTTTAAAAACGTATTTAACTCGCTTTCGCACGTATAATACGTTTTGAAACAACTCGTAAGATAAATGGTATCTGACAGACACTCGTTTAGTAATCTCTATATCAGTTAAATAGAAGACTGTAACACAACATTTGTCTGATATCTCCTGATATTACACATTCAGCAAATGTCAAGAAGCTCTTGACATTTGGAATGACATATTGATCTATTTTATATATACTGACATATCTTAAGCATGTGTCTCTATGTAATTTTTCCATCAGCCAGGACATCAATTCTGGAGAAACAAATAAATCCTGAATAAAACCACCTACCAATGCAGTCCTGGTTGTCCGTCCAGTTGATCTTCTTCACATTGAGACCCTCTTTCTCATACAGAATTTGTTCCTGAAAGAGACATAAAACTAAATAACACTTGAAACATAAGCCCATTAGAAACTTACATCCTGATAACTATCATACTATGACATATAGTCTAGTCCTGATATTTATGCTGGTCAAAACTCCTGATCTGTGACTGCTCGGTGACTCTTCAGGTGTAATGGAAACTAAGCAAAAAATCTCAAACCAATCCTTTGTCAATCTATTTGTGATCTAAATGTACGAAGTATTTATGAAACCAAACAGTTTGATGAAAGTATGAGTAGCCATTTTTCCATTGTATACATTGTTTAACAATGATAAACATTTACGAATAGAAAAAGAACAGATTTCCATCAGACATTTGAAACTTATTCTAAACTAATTCAAATGAATAATTTTCAAATATCTCTATGAAATCGACAGGCCAACTGATGATTTGTGTTAAAAATAGCGAAACGTGACAACAAAATAATGATCGTTGAAGAATTCCAATTGATTTGGACATGATGTAAGCTGTATATGGCATGTGTACTAGATGTGTACCTCCTTCAGGATCCTCTCATTGAAGAACTGCTGCAGCTTCTCATTACAATAGTTGATGCAGAACTGCTCAAAACTGTTCACCTGGAAGTACTCTGCAAACAAGTATAGTGTCATAAGGTTTATCATTTTGAGTGAGTGAGTTGGGTTTTACGCCGCTTTTAGCAATGTTCCAGCAATATCACGACAGGGGACACCACAAATGGGCTCCACATATTGTGTCCATGTGGGGATTCGAACCCGGGCCTTCAGCGTGATGAACAGACGCTTTAACCACCAGGCTACCCCACCGCCCCTCATCCAATTTAGAAGTCTCTCACAACTAGACATTAGTATGATTGATATTGAACTTGAACTTGTGCTGCCATAGCCCTCTTAGAACAACAGATAAACTAAGCATCCTCCTACCGGAGCCAGCTATATCCAGGACTCCAATGTAGTTAGCAGAGGAAGTAAAGGGGATGGACTTGTTTACTTGATCCACAATGTAGTCAAACATCTTGGAATAGACAACCTTTGACAGGGCATCTCTTGCACTGGCAGCCTCAAACATTTTCAGTGGAACCCTGAAATAACACAATGTCACCCATGTACAGGCTGGCACAGCAGTAAGAAACCAGTAGAACGTCAAGGTCGGAAATATCTATCTCAACTTTTATTTCATCTCATTTGGCAAATCAGGTTAATTGGTTGGTTATGTAATCCAAAAGATAGGCATAGGGTCTCCCTAACTACGACAGGAGAACTGAATTTCACTCTGGGAAAGGCTAAAGGAACTAATATAATTGATTGGTAGCATATTTCCTTTCTAACACTTGAAATGGCTAATATGTATGGAGAAGATTCCTGAACAAAAATAACAATGATAAGGCCCAGTGCCCCAGGAAGACATTTTCACCAATATACACATAGGCCAGTCATCAACAGTTCTGGGTGCTTTAAATCCTGCATGAAATAATTCCTGAGATGTTATACCTTCAGGTCATGCATGATTTAATTTTCAAACCAAAATAGGAGCAAGTATGCTCAAGGTTATCAGATATTATTAGCAAACAATGCTTCAGGAGGGTTGACATTAATGTTGAGTCAAAATTTACTGACAAATCATTTGATTCAAATTGAATTTCAAAAAGCACTATACAGTGGACTCTGTCAATACCGGCCTCTCTTAACACCGGCACTCTGTCTACATCGGCACAAAGTTTCAGTCCCGGCAGAAATGCACGTTATTATCATTTAGAAACCTCTGTAAACATCGGCATCTGTCTATTCAGGATATCGGCATTGTTTTTCAGTCCCAACGAACAAGTTGTTATGAAAACGAATCTGTAAAAACCGGCACATGAAAGACGGCGTAACCCTTTGATGCAATTAGGTCCAAATGATGTAACAACACAATTCGTTGTGACTCCCGAGATTATTCAGAAGCGGGAAGTGTTAATCAGTATCTTGTTAATCAGTGAGTGAGTACGTAACACTTACATAGAGTAATTAATACATGTAGTGGGCAGTTTGACTGTATAAACAAGCAAGTGTTTACATTTTGTTGATTCGCGGGTATTTACTCCGTGATTATTCAGAAACGGGAAGTGTCAATCAGTTTCTTGTTAATTAGTGAGTGGCGTGTCACTTACATAGAAGCGAATCGTTTGATGGCATGTATCGTTTAAAGCTCTGAACATCAACAATATCACTGTACTCTTGCCGAGTATTTTCACATTTGTAAGAAGCGATTTTATTGGATAAAGATTGGTTTCTAACGGCGCTTTTCACTACACTCTGCTTATAAGGGTCGTGATTGGTCAAAATCAGACCGTGACCTAAGCAGCCAATCATATTATGGAAATGGATACCGTTATCGTAAGCGAAAAGTTTTAGATTAAGGCGAAAGTTTTGTGTAAAAAAATAATGCTATTCTGAACATATTAAGAAAGACATCGCTACCTATCGTAAATCATGGAGCGTATTGGACATATCGTGCTAGGTTATGGCCTATGACAAAATGCTTCAGCATATATTTTCACATTAAGCATCGTGTGAAAGCCGAGATGTAACTTGTCAGTGACTTGACTTACATTGCATGATCGCTCAAAAGAATGGAAATAGTAATTTTATATATGCGTTTGACAACTTTTATGAATGTTATTGTTGATTTCAATTTATTTAATGATTTCCTCGATGTTTGAAACATCGTTACTTTGCTCTTTGACAATGCTATTGTAGACCAGCTGCGAAGCATAAACAAGAATCGTTGTTTGCAATAACATTGCGAAAAATAGTTTATAATTTTAATTCTGCCGATAATATATGATCAGTTGAAATTTAATAAGAGATTTCAGACATTTTTATTTGATTTAAACAACATGAATGTGCATTCAGACACTGCCTTGTTTCTTATTCAAACATCTTGTTAATGCTAAAGTGACAGTACGACAGCGAACTTCCGTGTGCGCAGGCGTCATAAGCGAACCTAGCTAAACCGGCACTCTGTCAAAACCGGCATTTTTACTTGGTCCCGACTGATGCCAGTATTGACAGAGTACACTGTATATGCAAATTCCTTACAGAAACAGCTTGATGATTTATGATTTTGTCAGGAGGAATACATTTTCAGTTTTACTGTGCAGTAAAGGAAGATTTGTGAAATTCATATCAAAAGTTCCTGTTGGTTTGCTTTTCATTTGGGACTATGATATCCACATTCAGTATCCCTCACTGTGTAGAAATTCATCCATCTTTAAAGATATGTATTCCTTACTGAACACCAGCCACAACTTACTTGATGGCCGTCCCCTTGGTGCCCCCACGAGTGGCTTGCATCACTCGACTGGTCAGTGCATCTTTCAGCTCTTCCTTGTCCACCTCAAGCAGATGGGCAGCAATCAAGAGAGATTTTTCTGTTGGCTTTTCAACCACACATCCACCTGTGAACAATTATTTTATCTCACATAAACCTTCACCACTTGTAAACTTAGTACAATTAGGTAGCTCCTAAAGCATGTATGCTGATGTGATATGAATGGCCATACCCTTGGTATCCTCTTGGTTGTCTTCAAAGGTAATATTGCCTAGGTGGAGCACTGCAGCCACTAGACGGAAGATGTTGTTCTTGTCAGCGTCTGTGATCCCCATCTTCGTCATGGCCTCCGAGCACACAGTGAAGTCACGGACATCATCCAGGATAGGGTCATGGAGACTGCCAAGTTTCAGGTACTATACACGCAACAATCAGAGCATGAGTCATCAAATATACACTCAACCTCCATTGTAGTTTGTTTGTCAAGTCTGTTTTTAAGTTGTGGGTTGAACAATTTAGGAATGTTCACAATGGATCAAACTCAGAATGTTAAAACCTTTCAAAGGCTAAAAGAGCAAACCATGTACAGTCTGCAAATAGTTTTATCATTTATGTGTGATTTATAAATTTCCTGGATAAGAATGCAAAAACAGAATGCAAGCTTTTACATACAAAACAATGTGATACTGGTTATGCTGATCTTGATTGAGTAGGGTTGTTTGATTTTACACTGCTTACTACTTCAGTTATTTTATGGCATGACAGTGTGATGTGTGAGAAAAGCCTGGAGTGATGACATTTACACATTTACCAGTTTCCTGAAACCTCCAAACACAGTATCGTGCTGACAAATCCAGAATCATTATCAGTTTGAAACCAAGATTAGAATGAAAAAAATAAAACAGCTGTTCCTGGCATGACTGAGCGATGCAACTGTGTAAATCAAGACCTTTAAGCTAAAGGAATATACATGAACATGACAGTGCCCAATACTTTTTGTAAAAGTATGAAGAAGCTTGTGACCTTTCTAAAACAAACTACTGGTCAATGTGAGTTATCTGTAGACAGTCTTGTGACGTTTTCTGTTGTAGGACTACTTTAGAAAGTAATTTGACATCCAGACACAATACAAAACCTTGGAGCTCATAATGTGCTTATTATTCACACTGCACGTTTATATGCTTAACATGTTTGTTAATAAACATGAATAAAACTGGAAACCATTTCAACAAAATGACAATCCATCAATGAAGGCCTGTTTCTCTGAACAAATGACAAAAACATGATGAAACATATGAAAACTAGCAACATGTATATAACTGTGTGGCCAAACAGGGCTCACATCACACAATCAAATCAGCTGACACATCACATTTTGCAATGTGGTTCCAGAAGCAATACCAAAGCTGTAGGCTTTTAATATCATATACCAGCACAGAAAAAAACACCTCAAACTAATTTGCTTTTGTAACATATTCCTCAACCAAAGCTAAGCTGAATACTGTATTACCAAAGTCAGCACCTTCCCACTGTCATTACCTTGCTCATTTTACATACAACAGACAACAACTGAGACAGACATACAGGCTAACAACACTAATACTTAACTATGACACAGAGTTCACTTGGGACAGACAGGAAACATCCAGAGTCTGCCACAGAGTTGGACAAAATATTTCGAAGATGTGAGAGTAATATTATTTTTATACAGACACATGTATTTCAAGATAAACCATGATGTCTGGACCTCTTACCTGTTGACTTTTCCGATTTGCATTCATGGCCTTGTCAGACTGACGGGAAGCAAAGTACTGGGAGCAGCCTTTCTTCAAATACTACACGGTGAAGAGAACAACACTGCAGCAATATCTACATGCTCAACTATGTGTGCTGCTTCAACTACCTGGACACTACACTGCAGGAGCACACACATATATACCTGCCCAGTTTGGGAGGAACCTGCCAACAGGTGGAGGAGGATGCAAGCACAACTTGCTGCGGGAACTGGTCGTTATCTCAATAACCAAAACCTAAACACACTGACATTTGGATGGAGGAATTATACAGAATGTTTACTGGATATTGGGCAAAGAATCTCTAGCAACCCAGGAGAAATTACCAACACTTCAGCCTACCTTTAGAATTCAGCACCACAAATTTTACAAATATGTTTTAGTACATTGATTTAATTCATGAAATACTGTTAAAAAATACTCTGGTGAAACAATGCCTTTTGACGACAGTCTGTTGCTGGGGTCGTTGAGTGCACATAAACTCCTCTCAGTGATCTGTCATTTCCACAAGTATTTTCCTTAAATAAATGGATTCTCATAAAACTGGCTGCTTGTCTCACAGAGACTGTCCTCACAAGAAGTTGTTGTGCTGTATTCTAGAGAAGTTGAAGCAGTATATTTTCAGGCTAGCCAATAATTCATGCAGTAGTTTCATAGTCACTGACTAGTTTCTGCCCAACTTTACTCTCTTCATTATGAGAACAACATATACTTTCAGCAGTAACATGATTATATCACCAAATGTATTTATAAAGGGAGAACTTTCAAGCCATAAATGGATAAATGTGTGCACCAACTCCAGTAGCTGTAGTGGTTCAAGTAATTGAATACACCAGTAGGGATTCTAAAACATGTACAATTCATGCAATTACTTCCACATTATAACTGTGAGGCAAGGCAAGCAGACGGCTAGTGTACAAAACCATGGAAACAGCATGCACAGGGATGAAGGCAATAACTGCACCTTGGGTGGTGGTGGTGCTCGTCTCAAATGACATATCATATATCATAATACATTAGATCTGTACAAAGTAAGGAAGCCTAATTATGGTAACCACATAAACATAATATAATGATCCTTTAAACAGTTCAGCAATAAAAGAAGGAAGGAACATATCCTTGGTTGAATCTATTTCTTAAAGAGGGTAGCATAAGGCATGTTGAAAGAAATTATTTGTTCTTCAGAAAGGGTACACATGTATAAGACAAAATATTATGGATGCTAACTTCTTCTTTATTGTATATACACGTTTCAAGGCTATTCCTTGCCCTTGCCCTTGCCCAAGGAATAGCCCAGAAATGTTGTGTATACATTAAAGAAGAAGTTGACATCCATAATATTTTGTCTTATACTTGAATACCAACTTCTATATGCCTCTCAAGAACCTCAAAGGGTACATAGTTGAAAATATGGACAGGTGCAAGAAATAACAATAGTTATTCTTTTGTTCATATTTTTGCTATTTACAATGATCAGTTTAAAATCTATATCTATTCAATTTAGTATCAGATTCAATTTATTAAATACAATTTGGTGTTATATATAGCAAGTCACTCAAGATTTTTAAATATCCCTATAGAGCGTGTCACTTGCTATTGACTGAAGTTCAAGGAGAGCCACAAGCTACAGAAATATCTTAAACTGTAAGTGGGGTTAAAAATGTAAACTTTAAAAACCCATTCATTGTGTGAATGAACATGACAGCGACCTTGCATACAAAAAGCTAGTTATAGTTTATTTCATCTGACACAATAATGCTATATTTCCTTCAAAATTGACAGAAATAACACTGATAAAGAAACAAATTAAGCAGGCTTGCACCATGTTTCAAAATGTGACCATGAGCAATCCAGGTCAGCCTGTTGACTACAGTCAATTTCAGTGTAATTATTACTTAATATTAAAATCTAATACCTTTCAACCAATATTTTACAAGAACAAAGTACACATGTGAGTCAGCTAATGGCCAATATCCCTGCTGACAACTGAGTACATCAATGGAAACATGCAATCATGCCCCTCCTTAGTTTCATAACTGTTCAACTGTCACCAGATAGCAATTCATTAGCTCCAAATAAGCAGCCCTAAGATTTCTGGCATCACTTAAATGTTTCAGGATGATATCAATAACTGATGATGTATACTTTTATAGTGGAATACTTTTATAATGCCTTTCCTGATAGCATAAACAGGCCTACCAAAGAAAACTTTCCCACTGTGCGAAAAATGCAGAAAAGCCCACATTAATCGTGGAAATAGCAACATAAACACATTACCTCGCTACTGAAACAGTAAAAACGTCAACAAAAAACTATGAAACTGCAACATTTTTATATCAGCAAACTTTGACCTCTAATGAGCATGCGCATTATGATCCAGGCTTCTTTCCCAATTTCCGAGCAGCCGTGAATCACATCGTGTAGAAAAAGTTTTAAATATGTTGAAATAATTGCTGTCAATCGTTTCATACGAATGGAAATTAAACTAAACAAGTGTGCACACAAGTATCATGATGATAAATGCCAAATAACACAACAGAAATACTTAAAAAGGAATGTAACTTTTGTCCAAGCTGGAAAATGTCAACATGCGGTCGAGACTTCCTCTTCCATGTGCGTATGCGCAAAATCGAAGTTGGGGATCCTCATTTTATGATGCAGTGTTAGCGATTTAAAGTTGCCGTTTTTTACTGTTTCAGTACTGAGGTAATGTGTTTATGTTGCTATTTCCACGATTAATGTTGGCTTTTCTGCATTTTTCTGCAAAGTGGGAAAGTTTTCTTTGGTAGGCCTGATAAATACAACACAAAACAGTGGGTTCTACATTTCACAGACTTCTGAAAGGTGCATAACACCATGGGACCATACAATACCTGAAACTGATCTGGTGGGGCCAACTGAAGCTCTTCCTTCATCTTGTCAGGAGCACCAGCACACAGGCGGTAGAAGATGTGGTAGTTCCTCTCCTCCTTGCTCTGGGTGCAGATGCGGGATTTTTCAAGCAGGTAATGTGAGATGTATCCACCACACACGGCTGACTGAAACAACAAGCAATACACATCATCACCACTGTATCAACACCCCTTTATTATCTTCACTAGACCATAGTATATGGAAAAAACCAAAAGAATACTCCCCCCCTCCCAGTTTTTCAAACTGGGATGATATAAAAAGCTGTCATAGATAATGATTCTTAGAAGACTACCTCTACTACATCACCTCCTTAAATCATGTATTTGGGTTACATCACAATAAAACCATTTAACGTTTCAACCGAAGTCCTCTTCACAGTCAACTATTCATAACTAAATGTCATCGTAGACACAGAAAACATACTGATCATCGTGGATACAGAAGACATACAGGTCATCATGGACACAGAAGACGTAAAGGTCATCATGGACACAGAAGACGTACTGGTCATCATGGACACAGAAGACGTAAAGGTCATCATGGACACACAAGACGTACAGGTCATCATGGACACAGAAGACGTACAGGTCATCATGGACACAGAAGACGTACAGGTCATCATGGACACAGAAGACGTACTGGTCATCATGGACACAGAAGACGTACAGGTCATCATGGACACACAAGACGTACAGGTCATCATGGACACACAAGACGTACAGGTCATCATGGACACAGAAGACGTACAGGTCATCATGGACACAGGTCAGGTCATCATGGACACAGAAGACGTACAGGTCATCATGGACACAGAAGACGTACAGGTCATCATGGACACAGAAGACGTACAGGTCATCATGGACACAGAAGACGTACAGGTCATCATGGACACACAAGACGTACAGGTCATCATGGACACACAAGACGTACAGGTCATCATGGACACACAAGACGTACAGGTCATCATGGACACAGAAGACGTACAGGTCATCATGGACACAGAAGACGTACAGGTCATCGTGGACACAGATGACGCCTACAGGTCATTGTGGACACAGAAGACATACAGGTCATCGTGGACACAGAAGACATACAGGTCATCGTGTCATCGTGGAGACAGAAGACGTACACGTCATCGTGGACACAGAAGACGTACTGGTCATCGTGGACACATAAGACGTACTGGTTGTCATGGTTACAGAAGACATATTGGTCATCATGGACACAGAAAATACACTTTCACAAATTCATATACATGTAACGCATGGAAAAATTCATGAAGAATCCCTACCTTTGCATCAAAATGGATTTCCACAAATTTGCCAAATCTACTACTGTTGTTGTTTCTGACTGTCTTGGCATTACCAAACGCTTCCAGGAGTGGGTTGGCTGTGGAGAGAGGACAGACATTAAAGCACATCTGTTTTGACAAACTCTTGTTGGCAGTATACCTAAATCATCTGATGCAATGTGTTATAACCACTCATACATTTGTTTATATTTTTCACATTTCAAGATGATACACATTTTCATGCTAAAATCATTCAACATTATCTAGATTGAAGGCTTTTATGTAACGTATGAGGTTAGACGATAGCAATCTACTAATTGATGATATTAATTTCAAAACTATTCATGCCAGAGTAAAATGCAAAAATTACTTTTTCAATATGGCTGCAAAGGCATTCCTGTTTACATTTGGATTAGTTTTCATCAGTTTTCAATTTTGAGAGACACCATAGTTGAAATAAGCCTAGTAGGTTTAGAGGCAGTGTTGAATATGTAAATGATAAAGACGGACAATGGATCATGACATACGCTATGACATGACATCAGCTATCCTAGTAGACTTTCAACCAATCCAGAAAACAGAAGTTGCTTTTCAGAGAATATAGATTTAAAGGGCAGTACTCATGCTGAGTTAACATATTTTTCTAAAAAAAACCAGGATAACAATATAAGAAAACTACTACCCAGAATTAAGCTGTCACAACTGTTTGAAACCCCCTCCAAGCGACTATAAATCTGTTTCTTACCCATGGCAGCCACATTAGAAAGCCACACTCCATCATGACAACCAATTGATAAATAGATTTGGCCTAGATAAGCGCCACAAAGAATGTAAGTGTGATTAAATGAGTACATGCCTTTATACAGAAGAAGGTTAGAAGAAAGATAGATGCTTCAGGAAGAAGTTAGTATGTTATCTGGTATGGAGATGAACACTCACTGTAATAACTTGACACTCTACATACACAGCTTAACAATGTCTGTCATACTATATCCATATGAAATCAGCAACATACAATTCTTAGAACATTTAACTTTACAATATCATAAAGGGAGTAAAGATTAATGAAATCATATACTCAACTTGAAGTTCCACTACCATGATTTAGTCATGACTAGAACACTTATAAACATTAGTACATTTGTCATAGTATCAAATAAATTATTGTATCAAAGGCACTATTTGAGAGAGGGCAAAATACTTGATAGACTAGCATGTTTTTTGTAACAGTTAATACATGCATGTATCAACAGGATGTTCCCATTAAATAATGGTGTTAGTAAAAGTAGAAAGATGAAACATTGACCAGATCCTTAGAACATGTATCCTTCCCGTGTAAGATCTATAGCATATGTTCAAACCATCGAAGTGGGAAACATGCTATATAATGCTGACACACAGGATATATCCTCGCAGTATATCTGGCCCAAGTTAGTGGACAGGTGATGTTGCAGGCAGATACAGGCAGATACAGACAGACAGACAGGACTCTGTGAACATGCATCCCCTCAGTGCAGCAACTCCAGCATGTCGCTCCTCCACGTGGACTACCACCAGTGTCATGGACTACCACCAGTGCCATGCTACCAATTGCTTACACTCGAGGATTCTCTGTTCAATGGGTCCAGCCTTGGTTCCCCAGCACTCTGTAAGGTATTTCAGGATATATTTGGTGGACTCAGTCTTCCCTGCACCAGACTCTCCACTCACGATTACCGACTGACTTAGCTTCAAAACCTTCATGTCACGGTAGGCCTTGTCAGCTGGAAGCACACAACAACAAAACAACAAACAGTTACTTCAACTTTTCAACAAATATATCACAGTCTGCATATTTGAGTATACTGCAAATCACGAACATATTACACTGTGGAATTTGGAGGTGCAACTGTTGAAAGTATCAGATAGATTTATGCAGGAACAATAATCCACATGAACATTATGGCACATCCATTTCTCATTTCTTGTTAGCATTAGACATGTATAATTGGTCTTTTCAATGTAGCTGGTGTATTCAGTATTCTGAATTTGTCAACTTAACACATCTTACAAGGCCGAAGGTAAGAAAATTTACAATTCCTTTGTTGCAGCTGGGAAACATGACAAAATTCTCATCCATGACAGTGTTTGTAAGTACTTGCTACAACAAAGGATTCTCCAAAGCTTCTATCACTTAAATGTAGCCCCATTTTCTTGCAGTCCCCAAAACCTTTTTCACATGTCGCAGTAATTTACCAGAGCTATTTGGAAGAAGACCATGGATGAATAACCTCAAATTTAATAATGTTTGTGTAGTAATCATAACAAAACAATGAGCGGGGGTTCCTAAGACTTTGTGACATTTTTATTTCAGTCCCATTGCAGGGGGCTACTAAATGCATCCATTGTGTTTATCAGTATAACAGGACCGCCTCCGTGGTGTAGCGGTTAGAGCGTCCGTCCGGAGAGTGGAAGGTCGCGGGTTCGATCCCCGACCACGTCATACCAATAGATGTTAAAATATGGTACTTGTTGGTTCCTGCCTGGCGCTCGGCATTAATGGGTACAACAAGGACTGCTCGGCTCGGAGTCAGTATAATGTGTCTGAGTGGGTTATTCATGCTTCAATGCGGCATGGTATCTCAGTGGGCTAGCACTATAAAGCCAGATACCCGTCTGGGCTAGTACAAGCAGCCGCACATACCCACGCATGCACGTCATTATGTGAGCGAAATATTCTCCAGCACGACGTTAAACCCAATTTCACCTCAGCTCACATCAGTATAACAGGTCAATATAGTACAAATGTAGCCTACTGCAGAAGTCAACATTAGGGTCCTGAGACAGTGTGACAGCTGTAGAAATGACACCATGACTCACCAATAGCATACACATGAGGAGGCAGCACTCCAAGGGACTTCCCAGTGTAGGACTTGATGGTCTGTGATGAGTACAGATCGGGAATCTCATAGTATGGATTGATGGCAATTAAAATGTTGGCTGTGTAGGTCTGTAAGAAAGCATCAAAGTACCATAAAAATACAGCATACAAAATACATGCCTTCATCCTGTGGTGATATCACTTTACCAAATTCTTAATGGAAGGGCAAAAAATTACATTTGAAATGAGGAGTGTCAGGTTTCAAAGAAAACTCAATATCTTTAAGGCACAATTTCACACATTTTCGATAAAATCTTGGCTTATATCATATATATTCGGGCATATGCACTCACTTTAGCTTCCTATTGATGTAATAATGTAATTTTTTAAGTAAAAATTGATATTTTATACTTATCCTGACTCATGATCTTTTGCTTATCTCCCTTTCCTCTTCGAATGGTAGTGGAACACTTGAATCCCTTGAAGTTCCCGAAGCAGACGTATAAATACACTCACCCACGAGTTACCTCCCTTTGCCCTTTCCCATGCATACCAGTCATAGAACGTGCCTTACTTGTCACTATCTCCTGATTTTCTGCCCATGCATCTGCTGTGAAATCTCAAGTGTCTTCAACGGGGAGGTTGGGAGGGCTTCTTCGTCATGAGTCAGGATAAGTATAAAATATCAATTTTACATATTTTTCCTTATCCTGACTCATGATCTTTTGCTTATAGAATCCGACGGATAGGTGGTGGGTCAAGCCACTCAATTCAACAGCTGTCCTTAGATACGTCCTGTATCCCCCCATGGGAACTGCGAAACGGCATTTCCGTGATCCCATTCTTCCAATTACCGTTACCCGGGGGGACCACTTTCTTGTCTTACTTCAATCTCAGAAAAGTTGAATCATGTTGATTCATGTGGCTATAGATAAACTAGTATCTTCCTATTACTAGATATCTTATAACAACCCATAGATTATGATAAGATCTTTATCATAAATGAGTTGCGACCCCTTCACGTACAGGTAAGATCTTTACTCTTACAGGATCTTCAATCACTCATGCTAGCCTGTCCTAGACTGTGCACATGGACTTTCAAACTAGTACTTTTCCTTAGTAAAAGTTATCAACAAGTCAACGTGATAAAGGGTGAGATTTTCCAACTCAACGCCTTTGAGGAACCGTTAGTTGCTGTGCTACAACGAGAGGCCCAAATTGGTGAATGCCTGAGACGTCTTCAGTGGCTATGTCTCGGAGGTAGTGGTTGGCAAACACTGTGTCTGACTTCCAAAAGCAGCCCTCCATAATTGTTGGTATAGAGCAATTTCCGTGCAGAGCCAGTGTTGACGCCAGTGCTCTGACTTTGTGTGGGTTGGAAGCTCTAGGAGGTTCTAGTCCTGCTGCTTTATAGGCTCTCAAGATAACGGCTCTCATCCAGAACGATATGGTCGTTCTTGAGACTTCTGCTGAAGTCAATGTTGATAATGGGATGAACAGGCGCTTGAATTTTTGTCTCTTCGTCTCAGTCTTTTGAAGGGATATCTTCAAGGCAATGACGGACACAAGGATAAGTCCTCTATATCCTGTGGACTGAGGATTGTAGACAGCGCTGGTATGTGGAACTGTCTATCTGGTTGACCAGGTAGCTGGTTCTTGGCAATAAAGTCCCATCTAATTCCTAGATGAACTGCATTATGTTGCCCTCTGTCGAATCTGGTTCGACCAAAGTCCAGCGCATGTATCTCTGATATTCGAGCTGCCGTGGCTGACGCAAGCAGGAACAGCCTCTTCTGTGTTAGCAGCTCGAGTGTAATCTGGTCTAGTGGTTCGTAGACATCACTGGTAAGATGACGTAGAATTACATTTAAATCCCAGGCTGGAGCTCTGAATTTCTTTTGCTGGTCCTCCAGCTTAAAAGATCTCAGCAGAGCAATTAATTCTGGTACTTTCGTCAACTTGATGCCTGTTTTCATGGTAATCACTGTATTGATAGCAGCGAGGTATGTAGATAATGTCAGATGTCTGGTCTGTCTAAGATGACACAGATATTCCGCCACTTGAAGATGAGTGGCTATCATTGCAGTGAAGCCTTTCCGCCTTGCATAAGTCTCAAACTTCAGCCATTTGTCGTCATATAGGTTACGAGTCGATCTGCGTAACACTAGCGTTACTGCTTTGGCTGCCCTGGCGGAGTATCCTCTTCACTTCAAGCATGTTTGATACGGTCCACACGTGTAACTGGAACACTTTCGGGTTTCCGTGGACTTGCTTGGTGTACGGATGTATTAGTAGGTTCGGCTTGTAGCGTCTGAGTCTGTTTGATCTTGAACAGTACTTTTGGCAGTAGTATCGGGGGTGGAAAAGCGTAGCTGTTTAATCCTTCCCACGACATGCTCAGTGCATCTGTTGCCCAGGCTTGAGGAACTGGAACTGGCGAGACAAACGTCTGTAGTTGTTTGTTGAACCTCGTGGCAAACAGGTCTATGCAAGGGGATCCTATCTCCCTTATGTTCCGAAACGCTTCTGGATGGAGCATCCATTCCGTAGGTGACGGGTGTAGTGGTCTTGTGAGAGCGTCTGCCAGTACGTTCTTGGCTCCGGGTATGTGACACGCCTTTATCCAGATGTTTGCTTCCTGTGTGATCTGGAACAACTGGAATGTGAGCTGCAATAGGCTTGGAGACCTTGTGGATCCTTGCCGGTTTATGGAGAACGCCACTGTGGAGTTGTCCGTGTGGATCATCAGCAAGCTCGACCATAGTTGTAAGGCATTGATCACTGCTTTCATCTCTAGCAGATTGATGTGAAGCTGCAGTTGCATTTTGGACCACTTTCACGATGCCACTTGATCGTTGAGATGCACACCCCATCCTTGCATCGAGGCGTCTGCGTAGAGATGTGTGTCGAAGGCCAGCTCTTGTAAATAGGTTCTTTCGCAAACGTTCGACCTGTGTGTCCACCACAGTAGGTACCTCTTGAGGTTTCCCGGCAGCAAGATAAGGTTGATGCTGTCTAAATGTATTATCAGGAACCGTTGCAGCGGTCTTAGTTGTAACCTTCCTGTGCGAGTCAAGTCCTGCGCCGAGGTTAGTAGACCGAGTAGACATTGCCATGGTCGTAGTGTTAATGGAGAGATGACTGCTTGTTGAATCATGGCTTGTATCTTGACCCAATGATCTTCTGGGAGCACAATTCGATTCTGTGTTGTGATAATTCTTATTCCCAGCAATTGAAGATCTTGTTTGATTCTAACTCCAATTTACATCAGGTTCACTAGCCATCCTTGTTGCGAGAGCAACTTAATTGTGAAGTTCAGCTGCTCTCTGAGTTGATTGGCACTTTGAAGAACCTGTATGCCGTTGTCCAGATAACCGGCACTGCGTAGACGTCGATGTAGCAGATAGGTGCCGATAGGATTGGTTATTCGTATGAATAATCATAGAGCTGACGATATTCCAAACAATAGGACGTTCCATTGGAAGTGCTAACCTCTGATTGCAGTGATGATACATCATTCTTCCCCTTATATACCCAGGCGATCTGTGTTGACATTGAAGTGTTGTCTATTTATAGCAAGGCTGGCTCCCGTGTAGCATCGCAGGGGACAGGTACTCATACCGACTTTTATCAGCGACAACTTCCAAATTAAACAACGTTTATCCTGCTGTCAAGGCTAGACATCTATTAGATTCCCATGATGATAACAGTTGTATACTGTTTCCAAGGCTGCCGATGAAGTATTCCCTCGTACCACGGATTTGTTTACAATGAAAAAACATGCTGATCTGTCAGTGGGAGGCGTTGTCTGATGTAGACCAATCAGCTTCAAGCATGACGTCACCAGTGTGGTAGCAAGTTGGCCTCCATAAAATCTGATGCAATTAGTTGGTTGAGTAAAAAGCGAGCGTACATCTACGCCGCTCATATAAACCTCTCGACTAAGGGTTGCTCCAAGTGTAAATTCTTGTTTAGTGATATAAATCACTTATTCCCAGCATGACGAAGGAGGCTATCGAGACGTATGTCTGTATGGATCTTGAAGGAATACCGATGTTGAATCTAGTTGATAGGATATAATCCTAATCCCCATGCTGAGTGACGAGTGTTAATACGATCATCTGTACGTCCATACAAGGATACTTGAAGGTGATGTTAACCTTAAGCCCTTTCCAAAGGTCGTTTGAGGTTCTCCAGTACTTGAGATATCGGCTTCATAGGTGATATCATATTGGAGTCGAAGTCATCAGCGTATATGCAGTACGTCTCTGTTGGAGAGTGAGTGAGTGAACGACAATATCCGCAGGCCGAAGTCACCTGATTATGAGAGAGAGCTATGTCTCGACGATTCATCCATCTGCGAACCTGTTTCCCTTCTTGAACCCTCATCCTCTCTTCGCGAACATGTATCTGAGGATTCCTCCCTATGCGAACGTCTATCTTGAGAGTGTTCTGTCCGCGAAAGTCTATCTGTGGATATATCTCTTCGCGAACCTCTGTGAGGTGAGCTATCTCTTCGCGAACGTCTGGCTTGAGGTGAGTAGCTTCACGAACGTCTGTGCTAGATAAAGGTCTCGACCTAGAGCGGCTAGGTGTAGGAGCAGGATCCTTCGATTTTCGCGAACGCTGAGGGTTTGCGAACGTAGATTGAAGAGTATGTGCGTCATCTCTTCTATCCTCCAAGATGACAGAGTCGTCCGACTGTGGAGACCTTCGCAAAGGTGTACTTTCGGGAACGTAGACTTGAGGTGTAGATCTAATAGGAGTAGATTCGCGCAGGCCTGTGGGTTTGCGCACGGTGTCGGTAGATGAAAGGCTTTTCCTAGCCTTTGATTCCTCTTGGAATCTACGTTCCATCATGGCCATCATCTCTGCATAGGTTGACGCTGCTGCGGTGTAGGAGAAGCGTTCGCGAACGCTGATGGGTTATGTGCCTCAACTTCAATCCGAGAAGTAAGAGGTAGTTCGTCGAACAGCTGTCCTGCTGTGACTGTAGTAGGGGATGATGTTGTAGTAGTAGAGGTCGACTGCGTCGCTGATCTCATAGATACTTCAGGTAGAAGTATTGGGGGTTTCATCAAAAACGTCTAGCTTTGCCCTCCGATCTGGTAACCGTAGACTTCTTCTGCGCAGTAGAAGAGGATGACGTCTTATTCTTAGTCTGAGATGGCGTCGACTGAGATTTAGACGATCTCTTGGGCGAAAAGGGAGAGAATGACAAGTAAGGCACGTCACATGACTGGTTTGCCCGGGAAAGGGCAAAGGGAGGTAACTCGTGGGTGAGTGTATTCATACGTCCGCTTCGGGAACCTCAACGGATTCAAGTGTTCAACTACCATTCGAAGAGGAAAGGGAGATAAGCAAAAGATCATGAGTCAGGATAAGGAAAAATAAAGACTTATTATCCCCTACGACTTGCCTGAAATCGATATTTGAAACATTGAAGTGAACAGCTTCCAAATAGAGAACACTTGCTATATATGGAATGTAAACAATTGCTCCGTACATCAAAAACTGTTGCACACGGTGTTTGCCGAACTGGTTTCAATCACAAGTTGCGTGTATGTTTTTGTGCAAATCATTCTACATTTTGAGAGACTCGCACAGATCTGATTTTATTTAACATTTAAACTATCTGTGATTTTGAGAATATATGTAATGGCATGGAAAAAAGGGTTTTGTTTATGCATATAGCTTTGGTATAAAATATCTTTTATGTTTCTCAGAGTGCATTTGAATGACGCTTACAGTGCGTGAATGTTGAAGAAAAATTGAAACAAATTCAGAGCTTGTGATAAGTTGCACATGCACAAATAATTGAAAGTTTTACTCTTGTGTGTGTGTGTGTAATATGCACATTAATTATTATGTTCATGCTTTAATAAAAAGTAAATGTGCATAATTTTGAAACCACATAAACCACTTGTTTACCAAATTCTGTCAACCGATCAAAACAATTCCTTTGCTTCATCCAGCAAGCATGGATGGTCAGAGTAAGATTATTTAACAGTTAATTGCTCAAGCAAATTGGTGAAAAATATTACTGACGACTGCTGCATGTTAGAATATAGTGTCAGTCAAACTGTGGGTGAAGTAGTCTCAACTGATATTCACCAGGTTGAGCCTGAGGTGCCAAAAAAACCATGACTGCAGGAAGGGACAAAAACACTTGATGACTGGTAAAGCAGATATCCATGGGTAATAATTAATCATAGAGACCATGAAATGTGGTTGTGTTGTAATCATGTACAATTAACCAGTCTGTGGTCTTCTCAGGGATCACCAAGCATTCAGATTTCAAGTACCATAAAACATAATGACAGTGAGGAGTATAGGTGTATTATTTGAGGCGATTGTTGGTGCTGAACTATTAAACACTGGTGATTTTGATAACACAAGCAATTGTTGACCCGATGACACACTTTTATTTAACACTGTCTAGTACTGGTCATAATCAAAATGACTCAAATAGGGTGAGTAAAGAAAACACAACATTATTTTATGGGTTTTTTTCATGTACAGTGAAGCCTCGTTAATCCGGACAGTTGCGTTTCTCAGCAAATTTGTCCGGATATCGAATTGTCCGGACTACTGAATCAAGACCCAAGTTCAAGCAAGAGTTGCTTCCCTTTCTATTACAAAAACGACACGACTCTGGATAAAACAAATAAGCATTTAATGTAAAGCTTATAAAACGATGGATAGCTGGCACAACAATAAATCAGAGGAAAAAAGTCTTTCATGGTTGTCTGTGTTCTTTTAACCTTTTTCATGGAATTCTTGACATCAATAATTTTGCCGAGTGACATCTCATCCCCGATTGTCTCAAAATATGTCACCAGACTTTCCAAGTATTTCTCTGCCTCTGTAGAACTTGGTGGAACGGGGGCTGGATCACTTTCCTCCTCTTCTTCACAATCGTCAGTTGGTTGGACAATGTCAATGATTGCGCTGTCCGTGAGCGGCTCGCATGTTGACTCACTGTCTTCTTCGGCGACATATTCTTCGGCGCTCACAACATCCGATGAAGGATACTCATTAAGGAGACAATGCAATGTCTCACAGTCAGTTTCTGGTCACGCCCCTCCTCGGCACAGGTGATGTAATGTCTCACAAGCGATCTCTTGTAGTATGCTTTAAATGTCCGAATTATCCCTGCATCCATCGGTTGAATATGTGACGTTGTGTTTGGTGGCAAAAAATGCAAGGTCACATTTCGCAAAGTTAGACAAGCACACTTGTGACTTGCAGCGTTGTCGAGAGAAGCAAAATCACTTTAGGTCCACGTGACCGCATCTGTCTGTCAGTCAAAGTACAACAACCAATCACAAAACAGCTCACTTGTCATCCACGCCTTTGTATTGTGTCGATATCTCACATAGACTTCTGGGTTAAAATCACGTCCGAAACACTTTAAAACTTTCTTCAGTTCCTCCCTCCCCGCGATGACTGCAGTCTTGTCGGCACTGGCTGCTTCACCCTGGAGCACTTGCTTCGAAATCTAGTGTCGAGATTTGAACCTGGCCAGCCATCCACGAGAATACGCGAAATCCTTAATTGATAACTTGTCACCGAAGTCTTTCGCTTTCAGAATCAACATCTCGTCATTAACAGCTGCATTCTTACTGGTCATGTCATTCATCCATAAAAAGAGCGCCTCCTCCATTTTCTTATGTTTGGCGTTTCTTGCTTTCGAGACAGGGCCGCAGAATCTTCTGGAATGGTAAGCCATTTTCCTTGGACTTCAGGATGTCACCGATTGTAGATTTCCCCACTGAATGTCCAAATAATTCACCAAAGTGTTTACTTAGGAAATCTAAACTTGCTTTTGGATGTTCTTCCTTGTATCTTGCAATCTCTCTCTTTTCGAATGCGGTAGTCTCATTTCGTTTTCTTTTAGCAGGTTGACTCGCCATGTTTGCTGACAGGTGTCAATCAAACTGTAAATGTACAGCTTCAGTCGGGAGCTTTTATGTGTAATTAAAACAACAACCGTTAACTGGCATGTCTCAAAAGTTAACAAGAGTTCATCTTGTCAACTCCATGACACCGAGTGTATATTGTTTGAGGCCAGTTAAGTAAACATCGCCGGGAAGTGTTGTTACAGTTCGTGAACACGACTTAACAGCGTCCGGACGGTGAAGCAATTTACTGTTTATTTTACTGATTGGTGACAGCTACTTACCGTCCGGTTCCGGAAACCGAATTTCCGGATTATCGAGGCAAATTATATAGGCATAGATTGGTAACAAGCTGAAATCGTCCGGGAGGCGAGACTTCCGGATTATCGGAGTCCGGACTAATGGGGCTTCACTGTATTTGAAAAATTGTGCCAGAATGAAAACTTTATGATTGTCCAAAGGATATTTATATATATACAAGTGTTTGCCACTGATATGGCAATGTCCCCCGCCGCTAAAGAATGAAATATTTATAACATATTTACTACTTTTAATTTTTTGGTCACATACAAGATGCCTGAAATGACTGGTGTCTGCATAAGCACCCAATGTGGCTTCTGCTGTGCTAACTTTTAAGTTGGTTGAGCTAAAACAACTTTTCTTCTCAGTGAGTACTGCTCCCTGCTCCATACATACTGACACGCACTGAGCATGATGAGGGAAATCACCAGCTTTACAGATGGCAATCGTCATTTACAGACATACTTACATAGATCTGATTCTTCATGTATCGTATCCTGATGTTATTTAGGAGAGTGGCTTCATTCAAGTACATCAATGCACCTGTAACAGAGAGTGTCAGCTAGCACCACATTCTTGAGAATTACACGCTTGTGTAAAATACTCACGTCCTGTCTTATAGTTGTGTCTTGGAAACAGATGCTTCATGTACACCATTTTGTCAAACATTTACAGATGAAGTCTTGACAGGAACAAGCAGGTAGAACTTGGTCAAAATGTCAGTTTAGGAATAATAACATAAAATAGACAGTGATGGACAAAGGGACAACTTACCATCAGCTAACATTGATCTTATGGGCCAGGTGAGCTAAAAAAGTAACATTGTCATTCTTACTGGGTTACTTACAGTTATCCTCACAGTCTTTGTTGTCATACTCCTCAGCAGGAAATGTACGGTCGTATATTGCATTGATTGTCTGTGGAGAGAGAAACACTGACTAAAACATCTTAAACACTGAGCTACATCAACCTTTCCTCATTAACCTACAACATTGTATAAGCTTGTAATTACATCCTGTAAATAATGTACATTTCATGTCATAAACATAGTAGATGTGATATTGGTATCTTCATCATGATATCCGGAAGTAGGCCATATCTAAAGTTAGCGAAGTCTCGCTATACGAGATCTAGCGAAGCAAATTAGTCACCCATAAATCCTTATTCATCATGGCCTCTATTCGATAGACACGTGAGCCGGCTATTCCGTAAGTTTTTGACCGTTTTCTTTTGCCTAGACGAATATGATTCACAGTTCTCCCATCAGATGGGGTATCAAAGCAGCTGGTCATTTGTCGAAGAACCACGAGGATGTTTTGGACAAGCACCATCAAACCCAATCATCGGGGTCAAGCACAAAACTTGACTCGGGGGCGGATAGCCACTCAAAACAGCACAAATGTGCTCGAATATATGCACATGTGGCTTCCGCCTCTGACACTGAGTCAGATTCAGAATCTTCCCCTTCAAGCGATGAATGCTCAGGCGAAGCTTACATTGAACCCTCTACGAATAATGGGGTGTTCTGTCTAAACCAGTAGATGATGAGACTTTTGATGATTATGTACCATTCTCATTAGCCGATGCTCAAGACCAATCAGAATGGTGTCTCCCACATCATCTCTCCCGACAGACACAGAGAAATTTCACTGTCTTCTGCCAGGATTCCAATCTAGAGGAAGACCTCCCTGTCCCTTCAGAGGACAGTCTGCAGACACCTTCTCTTGATCCCTATCTAGATGACCTCTCTGGGGCAAAGGGAAAGTCTTTTGAGAAGAAATTTGATCAATCCCATCAGTTTATTCAGAGGCGGATTCTCAATTCCATGGGGCCCCTGTGTCACTTGTGGCATAATCTTGATAAGATCCATAGAGGTGAATCCCCGGTCGATTTGGATATGTTTGAACTGCTGGAGTTGGTAGAGAAAACTACCTATCTTCCTGCAGTCATGGTTTTTTTGGCACCTCAGGCTCAACCTGGTGAATATCAGTTGAGACTACTTCACCCACAGTTTGACTGACACTATATTCTAACATGCAGCAGTCGTCAGTAATATTTTTCACCAATTTGCTTGAGCAATTAACTGTTAAATAGTCAAGCCAATGTCTTCATGAATTACAACAGGAGGTTAAACATTCTGGCTAAAGGATGTCAAGAAAGTCTCATACCAGGTGGGTCAAATGTCAACAACGCCTGTTTTCACAATACTTTGTACTCTCCTTCCTCAATGCTACAGGTTATCCCAGCTATTGGAAAGCTAAACCTGGATCTTTTGTTCCTCAAGGAATCCCTTATAGGGGGTCATCTGGAACACTTTTTAAAACTGGCAGAAGATCACTTCAGATCCATGGATACTTCAGACAGTTTCAGGTTTCGCGATTCCTCTGTTGTCAAAACCTGTTCAGAATCATGTGTATCAACCAAAACGAAAGACAGATAGCTTTGAGCCAGGAGATCCAATCAATGCTTTGCAAACACGTGATAGAGGTTGTTCCCCAGTCTGTTTCCATGGACTCAGTCCTATGTTCATGGTTCCCAAGAAGGATGCAGGGCAGAGGCCCATCATAAATCTCAAGGCCCTGAATGCTCACATTTCTTACAAACACTTCAAGTTGGAAGGACTACACCTTCTAAGGGACTTGATCTGCAAAGGGGACTACCTTTGCAAATTCGTTAAGACTGCTCCAGGTCACAAGGCAGATATGGATTTTCTGCCTCCAGAACCATCTCTTCTTAACAGCAGTCTTGTTGTTAACAGCAGTCTATCTGCCACTTCAACGACTCCCAATCATCTCTGCTCAGTGCAACCAGATACTGGGCCCAAGTGTGGCAAGGTCAGTGCTGGTATCCATTACTCTTGGAGATGGCGGTCACACAACCAATCCCCCTCCCACAGATGAGGGATATGTTAAACTCCCGGCAAAACTTGCCTCATCCACTTATAGAAAATAACACTCTGGTATTAGCGACATGGAAGGTTTCCGGCGTAGCATTGAAACCAGAAGAATTTCAGAGGCGACTTCACAGTTGCTCGCCTGCCAATGCTTTCCACACAAGACACTTACAATGCTTCCTGGACTAGGTGGACTGGCTGGTGCAATCAATGGGGTTTTGATCCATTTTCATCCTCTGTGGAGTCTATCTTAGACTTTCTCACTCACTTGTACCATGAGAATAATCAGTACAGGACCATAAAGACAGCAAGATCAGCTTTGTCTGCTTTTCACCCCACCATCAAAGGCTATAATGTGGGTCAGTACCCAATGGTCAGGAAATTAATGTCAGGGATTTTTAATCAGAATCCTCTTCAACCCACATATTCCATGGCCTGGGATGTAGATTTGTTGCTGCAACGTTTGAATAAATTGAAATACTTATTTGTCGGACAAAAACTTGTCTGAGAAGTTGGAAATGCTTTTGATGCTAACCTCCGCTAGTAGCTGTTTGAAGACAGGGGCACTGAAGTAGAATTTACTCTGATTAAACCCACCTAGGTGACTAAGACAGGAACAAAGCCTCATTCCTTGAGTTTCAGGGCCTATGAGAAGGACCCAGCACTCTGTGTAGCCTTAGAGTGTACAGAACAAGCACACATAGTGTGTAAAGTGACATTATAATTTCATTAATAAACATAGTCTGTTTGAGTCAGAAACGGACCGATGAATTGCAAATTTTATCATTGTACAAAATTGCCACAGGAATATAAATAGTACACATGTTTATCATTTACTAATACCCAACAGCTTTCTTATATTTGAAAATTTTCCGGACTCCACCAGAAAAGTTGTTTAAGAAACTCATCATTGAAAACGCAAAAGTTGTTATCTGTCGTGGCGGGGTGAAAACGCAGAAACGGAACAGCCACTATCTCGTCGTGCACGGGATACACATGCCTGATGAAAAATGAAGTTGAATGCTGACGTGAAACAGTTGATGATTAAAGTGTACGATTTTTTCGATGCTGAAGCCGAAAAGGGCAAACCATTTTATGCCATTAATAAATTCCATAAGCGGGCAGCAAAAGCTTTGGGAGTATCAGCAAGGGTACTGACAAATGTTCTGGAACACAAACATTGTGAGAGTGATGCAAGAACACAACCTCAGAGTATCAAAGTACACACTCTGGCGACTCTTACACTCTTTCGGGTATCGTTATAAGAAACTTTCGGGGAGAATAGGTCAGAACTCTGTGAACGCCCTGATATCGTTCGCTTGAGAAATAATTTTCTTAGGGTTATAAAGAAGAAGCGCGAGGAAGGGTTCGAGCCAGTGTACTTGGACGAGACCTGGGTCAATGCCTCGCACACTGCCAGCAGTCAGTGGGTACCCGATGGGGGTGATAAGGGGTCATGTAGAAAGCTGCCTCTAGGGAAAGGAGAGACACTAATCATTCTCCATGCTGGTTGCTCCAGCAAAGGCTTTCTCCCAGGCTGCGACTTGGTATTCAGGGCAAAGTCCACAGATAACAGAGACTACCATTCCGAGATGAATGGTGCGGTTTTCCTCGATTGGGTTAAAAACAAGTTGGTACCAGCTCTACCAGAGAAGTCTTTTATCGTAATGGACAATGCCCCATACCACAGCGTGCAGGACCTCGACAGTAAAGCCCCGACATCGAACAGTCGAAAAGGTGATATGATATCATGGCTCGACAAATTTCAGATCGCACGGCCTTCAAAGGCAACGAAGCCTCAGCTATATGAGATCATAAAAACCCACAAATATGAACCTTTCTACAAAGTTGACAGTTACATAAAAAGTAAGGGTCACGATATTCTGCGACTTCCACCCTATCACTGTGACCTTAACCCCATTGAAATTATTTAGATTACGTGATGTAGAGGTTTTGGTTAAGGAATCCCTTAACACAATCACGACTGAAACTTGGCAAAACTGTGTCAACAAGGTAGCTAACGTCATTGAACAAGGTTACTGGTCTCGGGATGGCTTACAACAGGCAACTGTGGCACCACTTGTCATCCCTTTAAGTCGTGACTATGACACTACGACAGACGAGGAACTGACAGGTCTCCCGGAATAGATTTTGAGATGTCCCCGCCATCACTGGCTGTTCCGTTTCTGCGGTTTCACCCCGCCGCGACAGATAACAACTTTTGCGTTTTCAATGATGATAGTTTCTTAAACAACTTTTTTGGTGGAGTCCAGAAAATTTTCAAATATAAGAAAGCTGTTGGGTATTTGTAAATGATAAACATGTGTACTATTTATATTCCTGTGGCAATTTTGTACAATGATAAAATTTGCAATTCATCGGTCCGTTTCTGACTCAAACGGACTGTAGTAGAAGTGATATTCCCTACCTTGTCTCCCATTCTGTATTGATAAGATTATTTTACATTTCTCACAATTATTGCATTGCTAAGATTTAGTTTCATTCCAGGAACTTTATTGAATCTATGTCAGTCTTAATGGCTTTTAAAACACATCACAGTTATGAATTGACCTAACTGATTCAATCAAGTCACAGTTGGTAATGCTATGTTTTTTGCTAGCAGTTGAGTGCCATGTGTGTGGACCAGAGCGGAGCTTGCCAGGAAGAGGAGTGTGCTCCACTGGATGACTTTTAAGGTCGTCACTGACCCTATCTACAGTTTTCGTTTAAACTTTGGACTCGCGTTACCTTCAACCTTCCATGTCCACTTGTAGATCATCATTATGATCTGATTAAACGTTTTTCCCTTAGTCTATGTTCTTTCTAATTTCGGCCCTTATGAAGAAGGATTTATGGGTAATTGACCTCACGAGATCTCACATAGCAAGACTTCACTAGCTTTAAATATGACCTACTATATATTTACTATTGAAATTATAATTTCACTTTACACACGACGTGTGCTTGCGAAATTTCCAATTCTTGAGTATGGTCATGTGGGATACAATACATGAGAAAAAATAGACAAACAATTTATGTGACGACCTGTGTGAATACAAACTTACAGTTCCTGGAGCATCAAATGGCTCGATGGAGATGGAGTCAGATCCAATGTCTGTGATTCGTCCCAGCTTGAAGCCCTCTGTAGGGTGGGGGACCCACACCTTCTTACCCCCGTCCATTATGCCTCTTTACGTCAGTCAGTCTGTTAGAGCTCCTCCCACTGGAAATACACAAAGGCAAGTACTCAGCTCCCTCATCACACTCATGTCTCAACACATTGGTGTTTTCATACCACACACCTGGTGCCTCATAAACTAAAAAGCAAAGTAAAAACTTGATTCAGAACCAGCATATGCATTTCCCCATCTTGCCAACCCCCCATCCTTTCATCCCTCATTCATTCATGGTCATGCAAATAGAATACATTACCATCATTACTACTGAGCGAAAAGGGTGACTTCTTTGTGTATATTTGACTAACCCATTGATAACAAAATGAGACTGAATCAGACACTTGAATCATGTATATCATACAGCATGCATACTTAACTTGTGGAAAGTGTCAAAACACAAGTGTCATTACTGTCAAAACTATGTCAACATGGTCACGGATGATTGTCAAACATTTATATTTCATTGGTTTACATGCCAGCTGTAATAATTTGAATGTCATTCAAGAAACATTCTTAAATATATGATTTTCTTAAATTCAATAATTTCAATATCTATTCTGAAAAGATTAATGAAAGTAGAATCTTTCTATCTAAACTTTGCATGTTGCTGACCAGGAAATCTACTTCAGGCACTGAGATCACATCTTTCAATTAGCATGGAATGTTAACAAGATGGCGAAGAGAGGTGTTGACACAAGTTGAGACAGCGTTGCACTGCAATAGTTCTCAGCCTCATGAGCATGATGAATGTCTATGTACGAGTGGACCTGAGACCCATCACAAATATTTACACACAAGAAGTAACACCATTCCTGCACTTCTCATGTATAATAGAACACTGTTTGTAAACACACTTTATCCAGACACCTCACTTACCAGTAGGTGAAAACAATTTCTAGACATACTGGATCATTCTAGCCTTGATTAGGATTCCTTTATTATGTTTACTTAGTCTCCAAAGTCTGGTGGACAGACTATTTGTTTTCATGAACTATTAAGTAAAAAACTGCCCGACTTTTCACTGGCTTTCACATGTGGGATGGACGGGGAATTTCACCTCAGAACTTCACCAATCTCATTTGTATCTGATTCTCATGTTTGCTACTTCCTTATTACAGGTTATGTCAGGGTAACCTTTCTATCTGAATAACTATAGTGCTATCATTACAAGATCTCAAAAGTTCAAGTGTCAACAATATTAGTGAGTGAGTAAGTATAATTTTACCCTGATTTTAGCAATATTCCAGCAATATCATGGCAGGGGACACAACAAATGGGCTTCACACATTGTGCCTTCAACAACTGTAATATATCTAGGCAACATCTGGGATGTTTTAAAAGTTCATGGCAAGGGTGAAATCCAAATCAATGTCTAATCTTCGCTTCTGTTGGATAAACATCTGAAATGGAAGACACTTTACATAGTCCAGGGGAAGTACCGCTATACAATGTCTGCCATGAATAACACATTCCAGAATTTTCTTTTGTTCTGTTTCCTAAATCTGAATTGAGAACTTCTGGAAAAAGATTTCTCAAATGTAGCCTGGAGTAGAAACTGTTCACAGAGTTTGTCAATGCTGTATTCAGATTGTAATGTCAAAGGTTGTCTCATGTTCACTAAAGTTTGTTCTCACCTGGCCACATATGTGAAACCGTCAGATAATTTGCCTGGTTGCAATCATATTAATCTGCTTGTAACATCAACAGGTTAATGCACATACTAACCTTGACCTTTCTCAAAGTCATTCATTGAGAATAGAAACAATGTGGCAGTAAGTTAGATGATTACATTTTCACTTCAGTCTGATCATGTCCCATAGAAGTAAGTCCCACAGTCCTGTCGACTTGGTATCAAACTGAAGCTCATATAATATCAAATAATTACAGTTGAACATGTTGAATATCAACTACAAACTGTTAACTGTTGCACCTCAACATTTGAACCACAGCTATACAACTGTTTGACTCAGCAGTCTAATATTCAGACTGAAATAGTTTCATGGTTTTCCAAAGAGCAGCTGAATGCTCCACTCACTGGCAATATACGTGTACAATAGAAGTATGGATTAGGTATTGACAACATGGCAATACAGTCATAGCTGATCACAATGTGCTGCCGGCAAGTAGGTCAATATTCTGATCTAAAGGATCTGTCCGCACTTCCCGAATCTTTAATACAGAGTCATATTGTTGTAAATGCTCACATGTCATTAGTCACTTTTCTCTTCTGTACAGAAGACTAGCCTCCAACAAAACCAAAATATCTTTGTTGTCAGCGCTTGAATAAAAAAAACCCTAAAACTTCTTTGTGTCAACATTAATACAACCTGCCATTACTGACAAGTAAAAGGAATTGGTGTTAGATCTAACTCAGGGAAACAGTGATGACTAACAGGTATATTATGACTATAAAACATTATTGACAAGAAATACATTCACACTATCAAAATCTATGGGGGAAAGTTAAACATCTGATCACAGTATATATTAAAGACTAGTATATTACCATAACAACAAGACAGTATAAAAACGGACTAAAGCTCATCAGCAACCAGTCAGATAGACCATGGGACAAGCAGTCAGGTAGCACGGGAATATTTCATTTGAAACCTCCGGCTGACGCCGTCGGTTCCAAATTAATTCCTGTGCTTCAAATACTCAATAACACCCGAAAATTGGCCAACACATGATGTTTATCTCCTAAATGAATCCCTGGTCTGTCTCAAGATGAAAGTACATTCTTCCAAAACCATGTCTGAAACAATTAGCACACACATGTTCAACTGCTGAAGGAAACAGTTTAAGCTCCAGATGATGAAACATATATGATAAATCTAGGTTTAGGTATAGACCCTGTGCTCACTGTTCACATAAACCTATGAGATAAAACGCCCCATTGTTAACCAGATTAATCAATTTTCAAAAGTTCATGCACTTGGATTTACATTAAAACAAGTCAGGTAAAGTGCTGCCTATTCACTGTGCCCAAACCACATTTCCTTTACCATGTTTATCAAACCCAGCAAAAGAAATACAGACCACTTTGGCAAGGTTATCATCTGTTGCCTGTAATACCTGTCAGTAACTTGGTATCCGGGCGGAACCAGTGGCAATACACATCAGGTGTAAATGGCCGAAGGTTTGGGTAGTCAGTTGTTGCTTCTCTTACCATCAGACAACCAGTAATGTTTGGGTAGTTAGTTGTTGCTTCTGTTACCATCATACAACCAGTAATGTTTGGGTAGTCAGTTGTTGCTTCTGTTACCATCAGACAACCAGTAATGTTTGGGTAGTCAGTTGTTGCTTCTGTTACCATCAGACAACCAGTAATGTTTGGGTAGTCAGTTGTTGCTTCTCTGTTACCATCAGACAACCAGTAATGTTTGGGTAGTAAGTTGTTGCTTCTCTGTTACCATCAGACAACCAGTAATGTTTGGGTAGTCAGTTGTTGCTTCTCTGTTACCATCAGACAACCAGTAATGTTTGGGTAGTAAGTTGATGCTTCTCTGTTACCATCAGACAACCAGTAATGTTTGGGTAGTCAGTTGTTGCTTCTCTTACCATCAGACAACCAGTAATGTTTGGGTAGTCAGTTGTTGCTTCTCTGTTACCATCAGACAACCAGAAATGTTTGGGTAGTCAGTTGTTGCTTCTCTTACCATCAGACAACCAGTAATGTTTGGGTAGTCAGTTGTTGCTTCTGTTACCATCAGACAACCAGTAATGTTTGGGTAGTAAGTTGTTGCTTCTCTGTTACCATCAGACAACCAGTAATGTTTGGGTAGTAAGTTGTTGCTTCTCTGTTACCATCAGACAACCAGTAATGTTTGGGTAGTAAGTTGTTGCTTCTCTGTTACCATCATACAACCAGTAATGTTTGGGTAGTAAGTTGTTGCTTCTGTTACCATCATACAACCAGTAATGTTTGGGTAGTAAGTTGTTGCTTCTCTGTTACCATCAGACAACCAGTAACGTTTGGGTAGTCAGTTGTTGCTTCTCTGTTACCATCAGACAACCAGTAATGTTTGGGTAGTAAGTTGTTTTCTCTGTTACCATCAGACTAATCTTCTGTTACCATCAGACAACCAGTAATGTTTGGGTAGTCAGTTGTTGCTTCTGTTACCATCAGACAACCAGTAATGTTTGGGTAGTCAGTTGTTGTTTGGGTAGTCAGTTGTTTGCTTCTGTTACCATCAGACAACCAGTAATGTTTGGGTAGTAGTTGTTGCTTCTCTGTTACCATCAGACAACCAGTAATGTTTGGGTAGTCAGTTGTTGCTTCTGTTACCATCAGACAACCAGTAATGTTTGGGTAGTCAGTTGTTGCTTCTGTTACCATCAGACAACCAGTAATGTTTGGGTAGTAAGTTGTTGCTTCTGTTACCATCAGACAACCAGTAATGTTTGGGTAGTAAGTTGTTGCTTCTCTGTTACCATCAGACAACCAGTAATGTTTGGGTAGTAAGTTGTTGCTTCTCTGTTACCATCAGACAACCAGTAATGTTTGGGTAGTCAGTTGTTGCTTCTCTGTTACCATCAGACAACCAGTAATGTTTGGGTAGTAAGTTGTTGCTTCTCTGTTACCATCAGACAACCAGTAATGTTTGGGTAGTCAGTTGTTGCTTCTCTGTTACCATCAGACAACCAGTAATGTTTGGGTAGTAAGTTGTTGCTTCTCTGTTACCATCAGACAACCAGTAATGTTTGGGTAGTAAGTTGTTGCTTCTCTGTTACCATCAGACAACCAGTAATGTTTGGGTAGTAAGTTGTTGCTTCTCTGTTACCATCAGACAACCAGTAATGTTTGGGTAGTCAGTTGTTGCTTCTGTTACCATCAGACAACCAGTAATGTTTGGGTAGTCAGTTGTTGCTTCTCTGTTACCATCAGACAACCAGTAATGTTTGGGTAGTAAGTTGTTGCTTCTTCTCTGTTACCATCAGACAACCAGTAATGTTTGGGTAGTAAGTTGTTGCTTCTCTGTTACCATCAGACAACCAGTAATGTTTGGGTAGTAAGTTGTTGCTTCTCTGTTACCATCAGACAACC